TCAGAGAGCGCCACTGCAAAATAGTACTCGTTTTCCTTTGTGTAGCTGTGCTGCACTATTCTGTCCACTACTTCTTTGTTCTCCCAGTTGAGTATTAGAAGCTTTTTGATCGAGTAGAACAGGCTGGATATAACGTCTTTGTCTGCCTCTGTGTCTGTTCTCTTGAGAATTCTATCTACTATCTCAGTGTTTCCCGTCTTTTCAAACAGCGCCTCAGCTGCTCTGCACGTAACCTCCCATTCGCTTTCGTTTTTTGAGTTGTCCAATAAGTACTCCACGGTAGCATCTATCCCAGCAGGGGCAGAAAGAACAAACTTATTGAAGAGTGCGTTCTCCTTGGCAAATGCTCTTAGAATGTGCTCTGGCTCTTTGCTCTCCAATGGTCTGCGTATTTTTAATATTCCGCCAACTATTATTGCTCTTCGGTTTCTGTTCATAAAAAATTTAGCAGAATATTCCAACGTCCTTACACAAACAGTTCATTTATTCATAATACCCAAATACCATCCAGCAAACAGCAAAAATAAAGCATACCTCTAGCATAGCTATATTATCGCATAAAAATGGTCAACACATTGCTGTAGTTAATGCAGCAGCTCCTCTTCTATTTCTGAATTATTCTCCTGTTATCTTCCTTAATAGCATAATTATAATGCAAATTATAATAGAGAAAAAGTGAACAGTGAAAGAATGCATCAGTTCATGAGCTAGTGAGAGATAAGAGATTGTTCTGGTTTTTGTATCACTTACCTACTCTGCTGCCATTCCACTGGCTGAGCATATTTCAAAGTTATTCTCGCTCCCGTTGTAGAAGAGAAACTGGCCCTCGCTTTTCTGGAAATCACCGCATATTGTAAACACTTGGTCATCTTCTTTATGCGTGAAACAGTCATATCTGTCGCCGATAATCACTCCTGTTATGGGACCAGTGTACGACAGATCAGTATACGTTATAAAAGGATTGAATGATGCCTGGGTCAGAAACACTCTTCCCAGCTCCTGTCTGAACGACCCTTGTATCACGCTTTCCTCCTTTATCCCATCGACCAAGTCAAATAATCCCGCTAAAAAAACAGACTTATCTATCACTATTTCTGCAGGATTTGTGGCTATTTTTAGATTCTTATGTGATCTGCACTCTCCGTGCGGATAAAAGTACCTCTTCCCTATCCCCGGTATAACGATAAAGTCAATACTCTTGTAGTCCTTCAAAAGAGTGCTTTCCAGCTTTGACTGGACATTCGCTGTGCTCTCAGCATCGCTCATCATCAGAACAACTGCTGATATTTCTATTTCGTAATCTGTGTACACTTTTAGAATGTTGCCCACTTTGCCAATGTTCTCCTGCGATGCCACAAACTGCGAAACTACAATGAAATTTGTTCGGTGTGTTTGGCTCTGCGAGTGGTTTTTGCTGGGAAGGTGAATGTCCTCCACCACAAACCCATCTTTCTCCAGTCTTCCCTCAAATCCAGCGCAAACTCCTCTTGATATAAAAAACTCGCCCTTTTCTATCCTCGCCACCCGCACAGACTCGTCTTCGTCTTCTATCTCCAGTGTTCCATCATCTAGCACCCTGGCCATTCCGAATATCATGCATTTTACTCCTTCTTTCAGTGCAACTATCGATGTTTTCTGTGCGAGCACTCTTTCTTTAAGGACTCTGTACCTTTCCACCCCCTCTGGCCTGTACTGCACTGGGTGCACTTCTATTTTCTGTCTCTCTTTTACTCTATTTTTCACAGCAGCATCTATTTCTTTTTCTGTGAGTATTCCTCCTGTGTAGTTCGCTCTTATGATGTCTGCGTACACTTCCATGGTCTCAGGAGAGAGCACTTTCTGTATGTACTGTATCACTTTCTGCGACAGCGGCACTCCCCTCTCTCTGGTGAACAGCTTGTATATGTCCATTTCTGTAGCAGTTTTTTCCTCTTTTTTCAGTACTTCCTCTTTCTTCCGGGCTGTTTCCGCTCCCCCACTTCTTCCGCTCATAGAAATAATTTACAAGAATAATGCCCAATAAATAGAGCCCAAGAATTGCTCACCTTCTACTAGCACAAGAGTATCTGTGCGATAATCTCCTATAGATCCACTATCTAAGCTAGATTATACTAGCTATACATTCTACCACCAGAACTGCCATTGTTCACATAGCACTGCACTATACTACAGTATTTCTTCTAGCTTCTCCTGCAGCTAGAAGATGCATTTCTCTTTGCCTAAACACTAAGCTAGTTCATTCGCACAGAATACCAATAAAAAGATACCTATCTGATCACTGGATATTCAGACAATAGCAGTGTGTTCAATCATGCACTAAATGACTGCACCAACCACTGCAGTGCCGCCATTAGCCACTCTGCAGCACATCTGTACTCTAAAAACTGCACAACCGCAGAGACACAATCAAAGACAGGCACAAGAATAATACAATACCTTCCACACGTGTTCTTTATTTAAAAGCACTTTCTGTGGACAACAGAAGGCCCGCACTCGTCGTACTCAGCCTTGCTGATCCACATCTGTTGGAAAGTTCCCAAAGAAGCCAAGATAGATCCTCCAATCCACACACTGTATTTCCTTTCTGGGTTGGCGACTACCTTCACCTTCATGGATGCAGGTGCGAGCTTTGCAATCTCGTCCTGCATTCTATCGGGCATTCCAGCGTACAGAGTTGTTCCTCCGGACAGCACAATGTTTGCGTACAGGTCTTTTCTGATGTCCACGTCGCACTTCATGATGGAGTTGAAGCACGTCTCGTGGATACCTGCGGTCTCAAGCCCCATGAAGCTGGGCTGGAAGAGCGCCTCGGGGGCTCTGAATCTCTCGTTTCCGATGGTGATGCTCTGGCCGTCTGGCAGCTCGTAGCTCTTCTCCAGCTCGCTGGACGGCTTTGCAAGCTCTTCTTCAAACGACGGAGCAACGTAGCACAGGGACTCCTTAATACTTCTGACGATTTCACGCTCTGCTGTGGTGGTGAACGTGTATCCCTTCTCTGTGAGAATTCTCATAAGGTAGTCTGTCAGGTCTCTTCCTGCAAGGTCAAGACGAGAGATGGCGTGGGGCAGGGAGTATCCTTCGTAGATGGGCACTGTGTGCGTCACACCGTCGCCTGAGTCCAGGACAATTCCTGTCGTGCGCCCGCTGGAGTAGAGGGAGAGGACAGCCTGGATGGCTACGTAGAAAGAGGGGCAGTTGAAGGTCTCGAACATAATCTGCGTCATTTTCTCTCTGTTGAGCTTTGGGTTCAGAGGGGCTTCAGTCATAAGGACGGGGTGCTCTTCTGGGGCGACTCTTAGCTCGTTGTAGAAGGTGTGGTGCCATATTTTCTCCATTGCGTCCCAGTCGTTCACTATTCCGTGCTCGATGGGGTACTTGAGGGTCAGGATGCCTCTTCTTGTCTGGGCTTCTTCTCCCACATAGGACTCCTTCTGCCCCATGCCCACCATGACGCCCTGGTGCCTTGGCTTTCCTATTATGCTGGCGAACACTGCTCTGGGGCCGTCGTCGCCAGAGAATCCGGCTTTGCACATGCCCGAGCCATTATCTATGACTAATGCTTTTGTTATTTCGTCTGCCATTTGCAGGGGGTCTGAAAAAGAAAAAAATAAATATTAGGAATAGTAATTTGATGGCATTTACCGGGAGAACATTGGAAGCAATTAAAGTTAATTAGAAATGGGCAGGCAATAGGAACGCTCTGGAAAACAGGGCAATTAATGAAAAAACCAATGAAATGGAAGAAATGGGCTGGCTCGTCTGGGGACAGGAAATGCAGGAGGGTTTAGATAGGAAATATTTTTGAGTTTGCGAAGATAGCTATCTGCAGAGAGCACAGGAGATGTGTACACAGGGAGCATGCAGAGCATGGAGACAGGTGGATAAGAGCATAGGAGCGTGTGCTGTGGCTATGAGAACTGCTGCAGTGGTAGATGGAGTGGTGTAGTGTTGCTAACACTAGAGTAGAAGCATATAGAGTGTTTAGAGTCTGGGGGTATGAAAGTGTTCTAAATGAAAATAATTATATTTCTGTGGTGCGAACATAATGATATTTTTGCAAGGTTATATAAAAAATGTTATTGACTTCATGGGGGAATAGGACAGCTAGATGCTGCTAGCAGCTCAGTATAGACATCTACTATGCAGAGGTAGTGATAGTATAATGGTATAATGATAGTGTACTAGTAGTCTTATTGCTTTTGTGAAAGTGTAGAATAATAATGCATAAAGACCATATTTACTGAGCTAGATTGAATAACAATAGTACTGCTTGAGAAACAAAGTGTATGGAATTTAATTTTTAAGAATAATTATTTCTATATTGTAGGAGTGTTTATTCTTGGGTTAATAATAGTGCTGTGTCTCGCATCTGCTCAGAAGACGTTCAATAGCTCCTCGAACTGTGTACACACTTTGGAGCAGCAGGTTGCAGCTGAGAGAGGATAGGACGAGAGAGCCAGGACATGGTGCATTCCTTCCGTGGGGTCTTCACCCGATGAAACTGCGTTGATGTAGAATATGTACGAGCTCTCCTGCTCTTCTTCTGTGTGCTTATTCTGGTCCGTTTCAGTCACATCTTTCTCCTCTGGAGTGTTTAATCTACTTTTTGTTTGTTTGTTGTTTGTTTTTCTGGCGTTTTTCATGAAATCAAAGAAGTTCTCTCCATTCTGGGACATTCCTATCCGTATGGACGTGCTGTCTAGGTGCGTCTCCAGGGGGTCCTTGGACACTTTCATGAGCTCGGTACGCTCTGTCTCTGAGTATATCCTGTGCCTCTCCAGGAGCTGGATCAGAAGGCCTGTGAACCTGCTGTACACTCGCGGTATTCTTACCTGCGGGTTTATCGTAATGACCTTTTTGGTCGTTGTTTCCACGAGGATTCTTAGGCCGCCAGACTTGTTCAGCGGGGAGTCTAGGAGCATCAGCAGACACTGGTGCAGGATATCGGGTCTGTACGCTGTTGAGTTCTGTCTCTTTCTCGCCTCTACCATTTCACTGCTCAGCAGACACTTTCCTGCTTTCGTTTTTATTATTTCCAAGTTTGTGTTCTGAAGAACGACTGTCAGCATCGCATAATTAAAAAATTAAAATTATTTATTTATAAGATCAAAGAGTAATCTAGATCTTATTGTTTTTGTATTTCATTAAGGATGGCTCATTATTTGTATTTATTATGAACAGAGGCACAAGAAATGAAATAGTTTCGGAAGTGTTTAGTATGCTAAAGAGAAAAAATAACTGTACTGAAATGGAAGAAGATAGCGTCTGTACGGACAGCAAAAGAAAAGACAGTTTCACAGAGTCTGAAGATATTTCGTACGAGAAGCCAGCCTACTCCTATGCCACTTTGATTACCCAGGCTATTATAGACAGTAACGAGAAGAAGCTCACCCTCCGTGCCATCTACGCATGGATCATGAACAAGTATCCTTACTTCAGACGGCAAAGAGGAGGCTGGCAGAACTCAATCCGCCACAACCTGTCTCTGAACAAATGCTTCTACAAAATACCTCGCACGCACAATGACCCTGGGAAGGGCTCGTACTGGACTGTGGACTCGGAGTATCTGAACGTGTTCAACCCGCACATCAAGCTGAAGAAGGGCGTCTACGAGGGCGGTGTGCTGCGAGAGGGCGACTGCAAATATAAAAAATACCAGGACGCAGACAAGCCCACTTTCTCCGAGATATTGAACAATGAGAAAAACTTTTTCGACTCAATAGGCGTCTCCGACAAACACATGTTCAGCAAGTCGTACGACTCTTTGGTCTTTGATGGGAACCTGAGGGACCTTGACGGAGACAGCTTTGAGAAGCTGCTCGCCCGGACGGAAGACCCGATCCAGGGCAATACTTCTGATTACTTCAAATTTTCAAAGTAAAAATAGATTGTTTTGTAATTAAATGCAATAGAATGTCATTTGTCTTCTTATTTACTTGCAGGTTTATTTGTCTGATGGCTTCACTCTTTTTTACTCCCTTGTGATTACATACAGCAGGTGCTTCTCGTCTTTTGAGGAGACCTTAAGAAGTGCTCCTGTTTTTACATCTAGCTCTTTTAATGGTGTATCCAGTAGGTCTGCATACTCTTCATCGTAGAGGAGTGAAGAGTTCTTTAGTATTACGGTCTCTCTTTCTATTTTTATATTTGCAGCTTCCAGAAGGTCTCTGAGCGTGTCTGTGTTCTTCGCCCTTAGAATGTGTCTGCTGAGTGAGCACAGAGGGCACAAGGGGCTGGGCTTTGCTGCTTGTACCTTTGTTATTGGGTGCTGGCTGGATACATAGTATACGTTGTGCACCTTTTTGTGTGCAAGCAGTTTTAGCTGCAGGACTATCACCGCTGCTACTATTGTGTTTGTGGTGATTACGGAGGGTATTGTTTTCTTGACTATTTCTCTTGTTTCTTCGATTGGGGGCACTTTTATCTTGTACATCTCTGCTCGGATGGCTGATACTTTGTGCAGTGTGTCTATGCTCTCTTCTTCTGTGTGTATTATCTCTTGTATAGTCTCTGTGTCTATTTCTATGCTGTATTGGAGCATGGCTATTTTTATTATTTCATGCTTTTCTTCCATTGGAGCACTGCTGTTTTCTCTGAGTGCTTCTTTTACCCGTGGGATAAAGTCGTACTTCGCCCAGTGTATGCAGTGGTGCCACTCTGTAGGCACTCCTCGCAGCGTGCATATAGGAAATGTCTTTACTGGCTGCGCCTCTGTGCAGGCATAGCACTCTGTCACCTGGGGGAGGGTGATGTACACCTGTCCATTGTATCCGCTTGAGCCGCTTTCTATCACGGGGGTATTGGATATAACGGCCATTGTGTTTATGTGTTCTCTGGCCTCGATATTATCCACACAGCTTAAAACGCAGTCGAACTCGCTGAAAAAATCAGCAGTGAAGCGGCTCTCTGCTATGGAGGCAGTGTGGTATGCAGCTGCAATGCGCCCTGAGGACTGCTTTGTGATGGCCTCTGCAAGCACCTCTGCCTTGTGCCTATTTACGTGGTGCTCTGCAAAGAATGCCTGTCTGTTGAGATTGGACACTTCTATCACATCCATGTCCACTATTACAAGGCGGCCTGTGTATGTCTGTATGAGGATGTGCGCCACCTCGCTGCCGATGCCGCCCGCGCCCACCATGAGAAGGCCTTTTGGTAGTAAAGGAGTCATCGAGTGGAAAAATTTTCAAATGGAAAACACGTGCTTTAGAGACCCCATATGGCTGCAGCACAACCTGCTTACTTCTGACTCGATACTGGAGTATTTTTCGTTCTCGCAGTTCTACGACAAAAACTGCAACAACGAGGTGCTGAAGATGCAGACAATGCATAGCACTCTGTCGGGGATAGACGGGTTTCTGAAGAAGATGTGCGGGATACAGTATTCTCTGCACTATGCAGAAGAGCCCTCTCTTTTTATCATCAAGAAGTATGAGAGGCTCTCGCCGGAGAAGGTTCTGATGCTGGACTACTTCTACATCATGCACGGAACAGTGTACCAGGCGCCGACAGAGAGTGAGGTAAGCAGAACCCGGTATACAAACGTTCTTTTTTCCATGTTTGACTCTCTGAAGGATCTCCCGTTTCAGAAGCCAGTGCAAAGTGCGACTAGTGCGTCTGTATACAGCAGAATTGAAAAGAAGAAGAGCATCTCTACATCAAGGATAGCTGGCCTGTTCAACTCGTACTACATGGACTATCTTAGACAGTGACCAGCAGTACATTAGATAATAGGCCAGGCAGCAAAAAAAAGAGCAGAAGAAAGCGTAAAGCACATAAGACAGCGTATATAAATAAATGATTTATTCTATAGGGGGCACGTGTTTGCTTGAGTTAGTAATAGGCCCGTGCCTTTTGTTTAGAATTAGGCTTGTAGAGGCTGGACTATTGTATTGTGGTATTCTAGCGCATTCTGGGCTATACGTACTCTAATAAAATATACAATAGGTTACACTTTATTTTTCTTGCATCTTCTGCACTCGCACTTACTCTGGATTTTTTGTGTACTTTTATTTCTGGGTAGACTTTATTTCTTTTATTTCTGCAACTCTGGAGACGCTTTGGGCTGTGTACTCTATTAATATGTACCACTTTAATTAAATATATAGCAAGGCTTCTCTGGTAATCTATGTGCACACGCGGTATGTGGCAGAAGAAGCGTGCGGTGTGCATTGCAGCAGAGCCTGGTCTCTACATCGTGTGCAGGATGTTCTTGTGCGATGTCCAGTGGGAGAGCTTTGAGTTTATTTCAGTCTCCCACTTTCGCACGGATCGAATGGCCTCTATGAACTTCATTGCCTCCTGCTCTTTCTGTCTGAACCTGACAACAATGTTCGCGCTTACAAGAGGATCTGTTTCGACTTTGTTCTGGTTAAATAGGTCCTCGAGGTCTGATATGTATCCGTTGGCTTTTTGGATCAGGGCTTTCTCGCTTAAGAACATCTTGTCTGCATACATCTCGAGCTGCCATATGAGGCTGCGAAACTCTTCCTTCAGCATGCTCGATGCGTTCGCAAGGGCCTGGAACCTTTTGAGAATATCGTTGGGCTCTGGCACATTCCCTGGCCCAAGCTTGAAGTACACAGACGGGTTGCTTGTGTTGTCAGGATTGCCTGCATCCATGTACTTCTGGAAGCGCATCACGAACCGAGACTTGAAAGACGGGAACCTGTGCATTATCCTCTCAAAGACGTCCAGGAAGGAGTCTTCGTTCTCCATCGCAGGCGCTGTCTGCTTCTTCGCGATAAAGTCGTCTGGGTTTATGTTTATGAGATCTGAGGGAGGCCCTCCCTGTCTTTCTGAGGTATAGTCTTTGTAGAAGCTCGCAGGGCGGCAGTGCACTGTGCTGAGCCAAAAAACAAACATGCACAGGTTTAGAGCTCGGGCTGCTTTGTTTCTTCTTCCCATTGTTTTTGAAAGTAACCCAACCCTTATATGCTATGTGAAACTTTGTAGGATTTAGAACGAATAAATATTTGTTTTGCGCATGGAAGGCAGGCTTCTGTATGATGGCTGCGCTGCCATAGAAGAACGCGTGCGGATAGCACTGCACAGCACAGACTCTGCGGTGGAAGAGTATTTAGCCAGAGTGGCTGGCTACAGGGAGATTTCTCTGCTGGGCACCAGAAAGAAAGAGCTGCCACAGCACCCGCATGCTATATGCTTGAAAGAGAATAAAATGTACATTGGCACATGGGAGGGCGATGTGTTTGTCTACGAGGATTATGTGTACCGCGAGAGATTCAGAGTAGCAGAGAGCAGAGTAGTGAAAATAGAGGAGTACAGGGAGGGAGTGCTTATAGTGCATGCGAATGGCACTATTTCCTACGTAGAGAATAAGAAGGGGGCAGTGCACAAAGTAGAGGGATACATGAATGGTGTAATGCATCCGTACAATCCCTGGCTTATATCGCAGACTGAGACGAGCATGCACGTATTTGACTTCAGCCATGGTAAGGGCATTTTCAGTGGGTTTAGCAAGGATCTTTCCGTCTTTGCTGTGCATCCTGCGGGCTCTTGTCTTCTCGCAGCACAGAAGACTGCAAGGCTGATAGACCTGCGGACCATGGAGAGCAGTGTAGAGATGGAGAATGTGTTAGAGATGAAGTGCGGGCTGTTTCACTCATCGTCCGTTGAGATGGTAGTTTCAGCGAAAAAGAGAATAAAAAATATAGACATACGGACACTGACGCACATAAACCAAATAAAAACAAAAACAAGTGCAACTGTCCTGCAGGAGTACAAACACAGCGTATTTTACTCAGGGCCTGAGCTGTACGTAAGAAGTGTGTGCCCAGTCACAGGCAAGTCGCTCTTTGTGCTTGAGAAGACAGCGAAGTACATGGCAGCAAATAGCACAGACCTAGCCATTGTAGGAGCAGAGAGGGTGGTAGATATTATAGGTCTAGGGTCAAAAGAGACTGGCTAATTATCAGAGAGTAGCTAGGAGACTTAGCATAAAAGTGAAATAAATGCGAACTTAGATGATTTATTCGTGTTCTTTCTTCAGGAGACATAGCCATTTCGAATTGCTCTATCTTTCTATCTGCTGCATGCTACTGATACTTCGGAGTATAGGATATACCCGTCTTTACCAGTATATTCTTTCTATCTGTGCCGTTTTGAGAGCTATGACTAGTTTTGCTGCTTTATGGCATGCCTGGAGCCAGCCCCGTGAGCATGGACTCAAATGGCGTGTTCTCGAACATCTTGGCTACTTCCATGATGTACGCTGGCATTTCCTTGTTCACCAGGTGCTTCAGGAGAGAGTTGCTGAAGTGATTGCAGTTGTTTCTTATTATGTGGTACGTTTTCTCAGTGTACAGCTCGTCTATCTCCGACAGAAAAGCGTCCAGTTGTGCATTGGTAATCTCTGTGCTTCCAAAGTCTATTTTCTTAGCGGGGCTTCCAAAGGGCGTGGTCCCAGGGGCGCTCTTCCTTATTCCCCCCATGAAGTAGTGCTCTTCATTGAAGACCACAAGAGACGTGTGCCAGATGCCCTCCAGCTCGATGCCCAGCATGGCGTTGAGGAGCTTCAAAGTGCTTTCGTTTCCCAGATTGTACACCCACAGTTCAACATTGGCCATAAACAATTTGTAATATTTTCTTTTATTTCGGAATGAACAGATGGAAGTTTGACGACTTTGAAATTGGAGCATCTCTTGGCCGCGGGAAGTTCGGGCGCGTCTATCTCGCAAGAGAGAAGAAATCAGGCTTTATCGTGGCGCTGAAGATCCTTGTGAAAACAGACATCACAGGATCAAACGCAACAAAACAAGTCCGCAGAGAAATAGAAATACAGAGCCATCTGAAGCACGAGAACATCCTCAGACTGTACGGGTACTTCTACGACGACCTGCACGTCTACATCATCCTCGAGTACGCAGCAAAAGGGGAGATGTTCAAGCTCCTGCAGAAGAAGAAGAGGTTCTCAGAGCAGGAAGGCGCAAAGTACATCTCGGAAATGGTGCAGGCCCTGAAGTACATCCACAGCAAAAACGTCATACACAGAGACATAAAGCCAGAGAACCTTCTGATTGGCGCAGACAACAAGCTGAAAGTCGCAGACTTTGGGTGGGCGGTGCACAACATAGACAGCAAAAGATACACTTTCTGCGGCACAATGGACTATCTTCCCCCTGAGATGGTGTGCCACCAGAAACACGACAAATATGTAGATTTATGGGGGGTGGGCGTGCTGGCGTACGAGTTTGTCGTGGGGAATCCTCCGTTTGAAGCCAAAGGCAGCACAGACGAGACTTTCAAGCGAATAAAGTCCGTGGAGTTTACGTTCCCAGCGTACTTATCAAACGCATGTAAAGACTTCATATCCAAGCTGCTTGTGAGGGAGCCAGAGAGCAGGCTGTCCATAGACCAGATACTATCCCACCGATGGATAAAAGCACACACACGCCCGAAAAAAGAGTAATAAATTATCTTAGTATCCTGCTGTTCCGGAGAGAATGCAAATAATAGGTAGAGTAGATAAGTGTGCTGGCGGATCTCTTTTATTTTACATGTTGACGGGTTTATTTTGTTTGTTTTTAATCAGAGGTTTGTTTGGGCTAATTGCGTATGAATATCCCATAATTTTTTATATTTACAAATGGGAGCTGCATCGAGTAAATGCATTGGAGCATCGTTGCATCTTATAAAGGTGGCAAAGAATTCAGCTGCCGACAGGTGCGGGTTACTTCCTATATTCCACTACATCGTGGAAGTGAATGGGACCGAAGTTACTTCGGAGAGTGACATTCTGAAAATAACGCAGCACTGGGCGGAGGGAAGGCTAAGCTTGCTTATCTACGACTGCAGATCAAAAAGCACGCATTTGGTGGAGATGGCTCGTGTAGATAAAGAGAAGATAGGGTTTAGCATCAAGCTAAACACCGCAGAGATGGCTCCTGTCACTTTTCGGATAATGGACACGGGATACAACTCGCCTGCTCTTGATGCAGGCCTGCAGAAGGACCACGACTACATTATTGGGCACGAAAACGGGTCATTCTCAAATATCTACGAGTTTGAGTCTATCCTGGAGAAGCACAGGAACAAGAAGATGGTGTTGCTGGTTTATAATGTGGGAATGATGAGCATACGCAAGGTGGAGATAGAGCCCAATGAACAGGGTGAGATAGGCTGCGACCTGGGCAGCGGTATTCTGAATGATGTTCCATTCCAGGAGGGCAAAGTGGAGATAGTTGGAGAAACAAGAAAAAGCGTACAAGGAGCAAAAAATAAGACAAAAGATGCGCTGGAAACAAATGCACCCAGTGGTAATACTGAAGGAGACACAACTGATCTGAATAGGAGTAATGAGGCTACAGGAGATATAATAGCACAGGATGCAGAGAGAGTAGAAACTAATAGAAACTTGTCTCCAGATGATGCAGCTGAATTAGCATCAAGAGTAGATAGTATGGTCATACAGAATGATTCGCCGTATGATAATGGACAGAATGTGGCACAGGAGATAGAAGAGGAGCTGGAAGCAGAGATACACGGCCAGGAGATACAGCACAACTTGGACCAGGCCATGTATGAATCACTAAATGCACAGGTGGCAGATGAAACAGAAGATATACCGCAGGACAATGAGGCAATTGATGAAGAAGTAGTGGACCACATCTCAAGAATATCAAAATCAACGAATGAAGATATCCTATCAGAATACCAGCTAGAGGAAATAAAGCCAGTCTCTCCTGTGTTTGACTACGACTATGCTACGTCAAACAGCATTGCATCAAGTATGCTAACAAACGGCTACAGCAATTCCCTTAGTACGCCCCAGGGCAGCTACACCAACTATCCCATGCACACCTCAACAACACCGCAGATAGCCCAGGAAACAGTAGATTATAACGGAAACACACAAGAAGAGCCATTAAATTATAGCAGAGATGCACAGGAAGTGGCAAACAGCACATTAAACAGTCCATTAGGCCAGAGCATTCATCAAGCAGAACAGAATATAGCACAGTACAACGAAGACGAGCAAGTACCAGCTCCAAACACTCCAATGCCTGGTGAAGATATGATGATGGGTGAAGAAGGATATCAGCAGATCTCTGATGCAGCTAATGGGTATATGGATACTCAGCAGATGCCTGCAGACTACATGAGTAACCAAGACGTACTAGATTATGATCAGGCTCAGCTAAGTTACGGTGGAAATACGCAAAATTATCAGAATAATGTGTTCTCGTGCAACACTCCATCATACTTTGATCTGTCAGATGGCAATGCATATGATGCTCACCCAGGACCACTTGCTGGATACCTACCAACTGATTATCTATCAGCTGACGAAATGAACAACACAAATAATAACTACTTTGCATCTAACTCAGCCAGTCCAAGCAACGAGCAAGCACAGCATCCACCGTATAACGAGACTAATCCATTCTACATACAGCCCGCAGAAGAAGGAGCAGAGAGAGATGATGCATCGGATGTATTCCACAGCAGATAGTTTGCCCTTTATCTATAACGTATTAGAGTTATTGGGTTATTTATTCAAGTTGCAATAAAGAAATATTTTATTTTTATGCTTGTGCAGAGAGTCAACGGAGACTTTTTTTCTGCCCGTAGGTCTCTTGTTGTCTTTGTGTACGTGTTGCTTCTTCTTTTGAATAAGGCCTCTGGGCTGCTGAAGAATTTGGAAATAATAAGATACTTTAAAAATGCAGAACAAAAAAAGATAATGCTCTATGGGTTGACTTCCATTCTCTCCTATCTCAAGGACCTTCTTATAATCCCTGTTGAAATGGACTATCTGTCGATGGCAATATACAGCAAACACCATGCCATTATGAGAGCACTGGAGAACGGTGGAAGCGAAGATGAGATAAGAAAGCTAATTGTGGAAAAAGAAGCAGAGATCGAAATAAGCGAGACAAGAATCAGATACAGCAAGAGATACTCGATGTATGCAGTTAAGTCGGCTGTTATTATCGCTCTGTTGTACAGTACGGGCATTGAAGTGTTTATTATCACTGTTCTATTCCTAGCGGTAGATCTGTTTATAAAACAAAAAAAACAAAAAATAGAAGAGGAAAAACAAACCGTGCATTTGAAATACACAGTAGCGCTGGACAGAGTGTACAGTCAAATTGCAGCATATAACCACCCGATAGAGAGCACACAGCATGCTAAAAAAGAGCATACTGCGGCATTAAGACATGCTCACAGGAGCAGCACATTGCAGTACAAGAGCCAGTCTACTGTGAAAGAGCTGCAGAAGTCGCTGTTCACTGTGCTAGAAACCGTAGTTTTCTGCACTTATGTAGTGATATCAATCACAGTTCTATGCACGAAGGATAAAGACATGGAGTACTTTATAATTATATACAAAAAGGTAGACAAACTCACCAAATACTTCATGAAAGTGTTCTAGACAGCATGTTCATGTACCCTGCACCAACAATGTATATTTCTTTGCAGAATGAACTCTTTCCTGTGTATACTTATGTCCATTCCATCCTGTGTGTATACTCTGTACGCTGCTGCACTCTCTCTTTTCTTTAGTAGTCGGAACATCTCAATAAATTAAATTAGTAGAAGTCTCAAAACTGTTGAATTTATTTTTCTGTTCTCTCTGCCAAGTTCTACTAGGCATTGTTTCTGCTTACTAAGAACCCAGTCACCACGCAGCCTGTTATAACTACCACCGAAACCACGAGAATAGCCATCCAGTGTCTTGAAAGGAAGTTCTCTGCTGAGTCTTCTTCTCCTGACAGCTTATTTGTTATCTCGCTTATGCTCTTCATCTCTGTGTAAATAGTGTGTGCAGCTGTGGTCATTTCGTCTAGGTCTTTGCCGCCATTTCTCAGTACGGGAACAGTCATGTTGCTTATCTTAAGAGCATACATTGTTGCTACTTCATCTGCGGATGCGCTGTTTTTATTATTGGCAATGAGCTTCTGGATCTCTTCCTTAGATACTTTTAGCTTCAGAGATATTTCAGACACGTTTTTTCTTTTCTCTGAGAATTGGTCGTCTGATAACAGGTCTAGCGAGATGCTGTTAGAAGATGCCTTTGACACACTGTCACCGCTTTTATTTGACAGGACTATTTCGTATTTAGCATTTGCGTAGTTTGCCTCTTTGCTCAAAAACCTCTCCAGTATCTTGTCTCCTCCAGTGGAAGCAGTCTTTCCGTCTGTGGACATTGTGGCATATAGACACAAAGTAAACTCCAAGTCAGCAGGCTGTTCTTCTTTTTGCGGGCCTTTGTCATTGCTCTCTTTTTTTGCGGTTTTTGTGCTGTCTGTTGCGGCTTTGGTTACTAGCTCAACGTTCTTTATGTTTCCTGCTAGGAGACACAGCTTGTCCTGCTTCTCTTCGTTTACTGTAACATCCTCACATGAGACATGCTTAGATAAGACAGTGATAGCTAGTAGAGCCGTAGATATCTTGAATATTTTCATTGCTAAATTTCAAAATTAACAACTATTTATAAGAAAATTTTAATCTATCACAAAACAAACAAACAATAAATGCCAAAATTTATCACAAAAGCATTGTGCGAGTGTATGTAAGCAAGAAGCCCATTTTTCTGGGCATAGGCACAGAGAAGCGCAGAACATAGACTAAACAGTGAATATATAGAGCAAGAAAAATAGAAGCTAAAGTTAAAGCCAGAGAGAGTGCCAGTTTATCTCTGCATACCTCATGTTTATTTTGGGATGTATTGCCAATGTACTGAGCTTTGGCTATATTAAATGCTAATATAACCCAAGAAGTAGCTGTTATTTAGCCGCTTTAAGCATTTCTATTAGTACAAATGCAAGCTAATTAAGCCACTGTGTCTGCCATTTGAGTATGCAATACTCTAGTACTGCTGAGATATTACTTACTATACAATGGCAATTTAATGGTGTTCTTGAGAGACGACAATTTAATAATTTTAATGGCCTTTGTCTTGGGCTGTATTTTAGCTAGCAAGAAATACCACTACTTATTACACATGGACACAACTTACTGCTCTGGTGCTACTATATACTATCAGCTATCTCGCTCAGTGCTCTCTCATCACTTCTACTTACTGCTCTCTGCACAACTAATAAAACACAATTCAAAGACACACCTCGCAGCCATTTAACATGCACGGGCTAGAAAGAAAGTATGGAATATGCTTTTTATTCTTACAGCATTGACACAGCTGCTAGTATTGCTACAAATGCGAATCCTAGGGATATCTTGCTACTGCTGTTGGGGGTGGTTGTCATCTTTGACTTCTTGACTATCTTTGTTGACTTGTCGTCACATGATGACTCGTCTACGTCGTCGCTGCAGTCTTCCTTGTCCTCTGCCAGCGCGCCTGCCTTTGCCTTGGTCTTCTTTGGGTTTGCGCAGTCTTCGTTGGAGGAAGAGCCGGCTCTTGCGGTAGAGAAGCAGACAATTGATAGAATGAGGATTGTTGCTACAGTTTGTACTTTCATTTTCCCATTTGCTTCTTGTGTTGTATTTATACCTTTATCCATTTTTAGACCACTGCAAAATGGTTCTGGATGTCTGAGAAACAGGTTATATTAAGAATAAATAGACTGTGTGTGCGAAATAAGAAGGGTCGGATGGCAATTATTACGCAGGCTATATTAAATAGTAAATTAATTGCAATTTAATACTGTGTAGTGCAGGAAAAGAGCAGAGTGTGCAGACACTATTTGCCAGACAGAGAATGCTGCTTAATAGACAGTGGTGCACAGACCGTGCCTACTAGACACTAAGTGCTGTCTACCAACAGTGCATAGTATGTTAATTCGACAATTCATAGAATAAATAGTAGCAGGATGAGAGTTAGCCAGCCTGCTCTGATAAGACATGGCTGAGGAGCGGCTTCATTGTGTTCAGCAGAATATTGCTCATGCATACGATAATATAGGCTGCACATGTCTTCCTAAGTCTTGACAAAAGAAAGCCATGCACAAGACTTTCTGCATACAGTATAGCAAGTGCAGCCGCTTCTTTTTTAAAAGTTGTGCATGCCAAAGAGTGACAGCACTTAGCACACACAAAGCAGCAGTGAGTGCTCTTCTCTTGCTATTTAATGAGACATGTTCTGCTTATTAATTGCACTATTTGATGATTAATTAATGCCATATATGTGCTAATTAATAGCATGTCCATCGCCTCTAGTTAACATTGCACGTCATGATTAATTAGTAGCATGTGTCATGGACTGACAGTTAATTTATCTGCGGTATATAATAAGTGCGGTTCTGAACACTGTATGATACTTTTGCTAACTGCACTGCTATCTCTTGCAGCGTGCTCAGATGCCAACCCAAGTCTAAGCATAAATAGATACGAGATGGAATACAGCTCAGACCACTGCAGAAACATCCCTGTCTCTCAAGCTGGCTGTCTACTAAGCATACTCCTCAATACTTCACTAGCAATCTTAGTGCTTCTTGTTCTCTTACTTGCCACTGCATGGTTACTAATTAACACATATCCTGAGCTAGTCATCTCGTGGTACAACTATCTGCATGGAAACAGCAGCTACACTAGTGCTGCACACGTGCCGTCCACTCTGTGCAATGATCTGATCAGCGGAGTAAAACCAGCATGCACGATCACAGACAACAAGATAGTATTTAAGAACATTTGGGAAGAAGATCTAGAGCTCTATCTGTGTCGCGCCCTAGACAGCTCTGCTACCCCCATCGAGCTGTCTGATCCTGTGGTCGATAGTATGCTAGACATGTACAATGCTACCTCTCCTGATGAAAACGGAGACCTATTGCAGAAGTACATGGAAAGGAGCGTAAAGAGCATTTTTTACAGCAGCGAAGTGCAAAGTAACGAGAAGAGAGGAGTGAACTGTGGGATAATTAGATGGCTTATTGATGTTCTAGACAAGAAAGTGCCTGGCTATGATGTTCTCTACAACGGAATAAATAATAGCCTCCAGAAAGTGAGTAGAAATGCACTAAGCATGTTCAAGAACAACACTCTCCCCGTTAGATACCGCACTAACTTTACAGAAGTCCCTAACTAGAGGTAAATCACAGCACGCAAGCTAAAGACAAGAATACTCAGTTAAATTATAAAGTGTGCATGCATAAAGATAAGTACAGGTTTGTTCTGCTCCATAATGACTGAGTCATCATTATTAGTACATGTTGCCAAGAGATATATATTACAATAATTTTAATAAATTTCTCTTGGATTTTATTTTAGTTGGCAACATTCTTTAATATAAGCCAATACGGAAAAATGATAGAATATTTCTTAATAGAGGAACTAGAACAGATTTTATAAATAAAAAATTTATCAACTGCAAATAAAAATGGAGGAACCCTTGGGAGACTTTGATCTAAACACAAATAGTACACCACACCAGACAGAGCACACCTTGGACCCACAAAACCCTTCAAGAAGAAGGAATACCGTTAAAGATCGCTTTTTCAAGAATAGCTCAACTTTTTTCTACTACTATGCAGTTCCTATTGTTGTAGTGCTTTCAGGCATTTCAATTTTTCTAAGCAGTAGATTTATAACTGTTCTAGTAAGTAGAAGAGCATTCAATTACATCTCTCAACAACAAGAGGTAAATGGATTCTATGAGAATTTGCCTGAAGATACAGAGTCAGGCATTGTTAGCTTAGATTACAAAGTAGGAGTCTACAAGAACATAGGAATGATTTCAGCTGCTCTTCTAATGCTGCTTATTTCTTATCTTATCAAAAACAAAAAAATACTAATGGAATTATACTTTATTACTCTCAGCATACTTCCTGTTTCTATGGGGATATTTGCGATGCTGTGTCTAGCCGGAGATGTTTCAACGCGTTTCTATCCTCCCTATCCAGCCAATTATCATCTTAAGATAATATACTTTATAGTAGGTTTGTTCATGGGGCTATACAGCTTTTTGCTTCTTGTATTCTTTAACGAAAGATACAAACAAACAACAAAAAAACTATGGTATGTGATGAACATGAATGTCTGCATTTTCTTATTTGGAGCACTGTGTGACCTGTTATTAAATTCTATTTATATAAATAGATCGAAAACTTTGATATATGTAGGAGGTAGTATTATTGCAGTGCTCAGCCTCCTTACGAACTATAACATGTCCATCTATGTAGTGAACAATTGGTTGATCAAATATTTGATGAGCAATAAGCATCCAGAAGAAGAGGAAGATATTCTACTAGAGCCACTGCAAACAGGGAGAGAGGAGATGACTGCAGGATCTTCTACAGCAGCAACAAATCCCCCTTTTATTCCATCAGAAAATAAAATAATGCTTAATACGGAAAGTCTTACAAGAGTAGATGGTGCTGTAAAAATAGAAGTGGTGGTTAGACATATTATTTTCCAAAAGGATTTCTACAATGAGTACTTGGCCATACTTGTGTGGTGCTATGCATGCTCTTTCTTGAAACAGACGATATTTATGGCGGATACAATAATTTCCCCAAAAGACAAGATTGATGATAATAGCTATCTATACCTTATCTGTCCGATAATCGCTGTAGCACTTTACTATTTACTGGCTTTTATTACTAAGTCTATAAGCAAGATATTGACTGTGGCATATGTGATGCATGTAGTTGGAATTATTCTCCTATTCGCTACTAGCTTTATCGGATGGGTTCCTCTCCAGAACTTCTCAATGGGACTATACTTTACGAGTTTTAATTTTGCTATTTCACTAGTCTCAGGAATACTCCCCATAGCCTTGGGATCGAAAACATCTAATCCATTTGTATTTGCTGTGTATATTCTTTTAACACAGCTATTCGATATTTTTATTCCGTTCCATTTAGATTCGAAATACACAAAATATGTATCTTTTACTGTGGTGAGCATTCTTTCCATAGTTTTGATTCCAATATACATAGGAATTAGAAGAGCAGAGAATAAAAAAAAAGAAAAAGTTTATGTTGGTGACAGTGCTATTGGCTTCAATAAATACACTCCAGGAGTAAAAGTTAACACAGCACGAATGCCACCAGCGCATTGAAGAGATGTATTGGTTTCTGAGACCTATACCACTAAATCTTATCCTTACACGATTGATAGTGGAAGCGATGATAAAATCAATAAAGTGTTCTAAACTTATTCTTTTGATGTGCAATTTGCTGCCTGCATAGCTGCTACTATTTTTTATCTGTAGACTACCTCAACTCATATACTATACAATAAATTTCTCTAGGATTTTATTTTAGTTGGCAACAATATATTTATTACTAGACAAATATTAGCAGCCATTTATCTGTCTATTAAGAGCTAGCTAGTGCTGTCTATCTACTGCTACTAAATCTACTATCTACTCGTCTTATTCACTAGTACTCTATTCAGTACACTTATCCCATTTTACCTTCATGCGAGCATAAAATACTTACCAGCACTCACTTTGCGGCTTAATACTCATATTGGTTATTCTTTGGAGCACTGATGGGATGGTTTTCAAGAGGCGCACACTCCCGCAGAGGATTATGCTCTTTTTTAGCTCATCTTTATCTATTATTTCTAGGATGCCGTTTAAGTAGTTCTTCTCTCTAACGATTTCCGAGTCTATCCCGTGTTTTGATAAAAACCCGCTGTCATTTCTTATTCTAGATGGACAGATAAAAATCTTTACATGAAAGCTTCTGTCTTCGCTAAGAATGTACATGTATCCGTTATTTTGAAACATTTTCATGCTTTCATTCTGCAGCTCAGATGAGTGCAGGAAATCTACACCTAGCTCTCTGAATCCAAAGACGATCGAGAGACTGTTTATTTTCATGCGGCCCATGAGACATTCGTTAAGAATAGTCCTTCCCAGGGCTATCCCGGTGCCTGTGCTAATTACCAAAATGTCTTCGTCAAGAACCAAATGGCTTTTTTTTATGTCCACTGTCACTTCGCTATTTTTTTCTAAATTGTACAAATACTCAGAACACACGCCCAGTATTTTCTTGTTTTTATGGAGCACTTCGATCTTTCCTGCTGTGATGGAATATAAACTGCCGTTTCTTTTGCTGATGGTGTAGTATCTTGGGAGTATTTTCCGGAACAAGTTTGACTCTACAGAGACTTTGATGTAGAAATCGACTAGAACATTTTTAAACGATCTTTTTTCTTGGAGAATGTACGAGTAGTAAGCGTCATACGAAGTGGATATTTCTTTCAGCTTGTCCATGTAAAGAGAAAGAGACTCAGGGGGGCAGAAAATATGTGCATGCTCTCCGGCAGCCACTAATTCATAGAGATGTTGTATCTTATGCTGCATGGGAACAGCGTTGTAGTCCAAATGTTTTGAAACAAAGTCAGCGTCATCAAGAAATATGAGAGACGAGACTGCTCTATAGTCGGTGTTAGTGGGGATGATGGACAACACATCACCCACCGAGTACTCATAATTATTTTTTTCTATTCTGAAATTGTACTCATAAACAGCCGAGTACATGGACCCGTATGATAGTAGGTCATTGGAAGAGAGTAAATTCTTATCTAGAAACACTGCACTTGTGCTGTTCTCTTTAGTTTTTTCGAAGATAGATGTGCTGCTATCTTTCAACAAACTATCTTTTAGCATGCTATCTTTCAAAATCGCATCTTTCAGTTCTACCAGCCATTTCTTGTACTCGGAGTACACGCCCATTGGGTCCATGTCATCGCAGTCACATCTTCTGCACAGGGGAATGCCTCCCACCTGCTTCAGCCTGTTGAACAGCCTTTTTCCTGCATAGTTGTACTTCTTGTAGCTTGAGTCACCCAGCCCAACCACGCAGAAGTAGAAAGAGAATGCACCGTTCCAGCTCTTTCTTTTTATTTCCTGCCAGAAGGCCTGCATATTGTACGGAGCATCCCCATCCCCGGTTGTAGAGCACACAAATATCACTAAACTTGCAGTGTGCAGCTTGTCTATGCAGATAGAGTCCATCTCTTCTACCTCTATAGAGAGATTATTTACTACCCTCTGTCTCTCTATCCTGTCAAAACAAAAATTTTCACTTGTTTTTGATTTTTGATTAATCTCATCAGATGCAGCTGCACCTCCAAAAGCGTCTTTAACATCTGCAGCTTCATCGCTAGTTCTACTTCTATCTGTCCCATTTCCCCCATCTACTACCTTTCCTGCCTCACCAGAGGAGAGGATGCTCTGAAGGTCTCTCTTCAATACTTCTGCGAGCTCAAACGAGTTCCCGCCATTTGACCCGACGCAGACTCCAATAAACATAAAAAAATAAAAATAAAAAGAAGAATAATGAACACACAGCTGCCAATAAAAGAGTACGACACGTCCCTGGAGAAGCTGGAAAAAGAGAACTTTGATTTGAAGCTGCAAATATCCCATTTGAAGGCCAAGTTAAACGAGCTAACAAACTCCTCTCTCACTTTCATTCCCACCTGCGACTGCAAAAGAACAAAAACAGAGACGAAGGATGTCCTTACAGACGTGAAAAAAGAAGTAGAAAAATTGCTGGAAATAAATGAAGAGGTGAAAAGCGAAAATGCAGAGCTAAAAAACAGAATAGAAGAAGTGTTCGATGAAAACAGCTCGCTGAGAAAGGACTGCATAAGACTGTCGCAGCACATAAAAGAAAAAACAGCCCAAGAAGAAGAGACCAAACAGATACTCAGCCAGATGAGAGAGGAAATAGAAACAGTGAAAGAAGAGCTAGAGGACATGGAGAACATAAAAAGAGAAAAAGCAAAAACAGAAGAAGAATACGAGAGACTGAGCAGAGTGGCAAAGACCATGGAGAAGGAGCATAAGAGCGAGGTGGATAGGATGAAGAGCGCGAACACAAAGATGCAGCAGCAGAATGCACAGCTGCAGGAGATTGCACACCAAATGACGCAGCAGATAGAAGAGTCTGCCAGGAGTAACCACCAACTCACAAACGAAAACCACAGCATATCAAACCAAAACCAAAAACTGACCCAGAAGATAAACAGCTTAAACGGAATACTGAAGAACCTCCAGGACCAGGTCGAAATAAAAGCACAGGAAACATACAAAACGAAGGAAATAGGAGAAAGGCTGGTGCACGAAATAAAAGCAAAAAATAAACAGACACAGGCAGAGAAAGAAGAAATGGAAAAAAGAGCAGAGGAAATCATAAAAGACAGAGAGGGGAAAATAGCACAGCTCCAGATGTCTCTGAATAAAATGAACACAGAAGTCCAGCACAACAACATACAAATCTCCAGAATCCAAAATGTGTTCAGCGAGTACATAAAGTACATCGCAGCCCTCACGGGAAGAGTGGCAAATGTATCCACGGAAATAGATAGAGCAAAGTCCAGCCAGAAAGCATTCCAGGAAGAAAGAGAGAAAGTAAAAACAGACAGAACGAAAGAAGCGCTGGAAATGGTAAAGAAAGAAAAAGACACGCTCGAGGGAATAATAAGAGAGGCAAAGAAAGAGATAGAAAAAACAAAGTCGGATAAAAACAAGCTGCTGGAGGAAAGAGAAGATCTGATAAACAGGCTGCACATCACCCCAAGCACGCTGAAAATAGCCCGAGATCTGGGGGTAAATGAATTCACAACAATAAACAACCTTTTTCTCACGTGGAAGGAGACAAAAGAAAGAGCAGAGCAGGAGGCCGCGCTGAAAAACAGAAGAGAGGAGGAAAAAAGAAACAGAAAGCTAGAAGAGTTCCAGACAAAGCTGCAGGCCGCCCTTTCAGAGCTGCACTTCTGCAGAAACTACCTGGAAGAAAAAAAGAACATCATCAAAGCCATAAAAAAACAGAACAGCAACCCATCGCTCTTCAAGAAGATAGACATATCGAACGAATAATTGCTATAGTAAAAGATGTAAAGACAATAAAAGATAAACATTACTATTTCTAGACTCTCAATAACTACCAGCTATCAAAGATAAAAAGACAGAAAATTCCCAACCCGTACACAATTTAAAAAGTACAGACATATTTTATTCAGAGATCATAGAAAGTATTTTTTATTCTTTGGAGCGCCTGTTCTCTTTATATGGCTCTCATTCCTGTTTTATTGTGCGTGTCTTCCGGTATCATAACTATCCTTATCTCCACAGGCGTGCTGATCTGCGCCTTGTAGCCCTGGGACCAGTCGTACCCCACAGCTATGGCTAGGTATCTTCCTGTGTGGTTGTACGCAGTCGCAGTGATTCCTGCATTATCGCTTCCCGACACGCCTGGGCCAGCTATTGCCAGTCTGCACTTTGCCTGTCTGTTCCACAGGATAACTACCCCATCAGATCCAGCGGTAAGCATTGTGTGCGGAAATGCGGGGTGGAACTGCACAGAGTTCACAGGGTACACATTCCTGTCTCCCTGGGTGTGCTTGCACCTGAATGAATAGTAGAGGGTGGTTATTGCATTACTTGGGCGCAGCCCAACTATTTCTGACTTTGACCCTGTTGTTCCAATTATTGCATCCTGTCCATCATTGGAGCAGGCTACGCTCCTTAGCTGCCATGTGCTTTTTACCTGGTACTTGCTCTGCTGCACTGTGCTCCCGCCGTACGACATTCCCACGCCTGTTCTCATTTTCCCAAAGCCTGAGGCGCCTCCAGTCTGTATCTTTTCCAAAGTGTACACGTCATAAGAGACCAAATTGTTGCTCAACAAAATAGCTACAGTGTTCATTTTGCTGTCCATGGCAAAGACTTTATCCTCCATTATTAGCTCCTTTGGGGGCGCCTGCAGGTTGCTGATGCTCCACACCTTCACTGTCTTATCCCAGCTGCCGCTCATCAGAGTCATTGCATTGGTGAACGCCATGCAGCTGACAGCCATGGAGTGGCTTCCCAGCTCAGACATGTTTCCGCTTGTCATGTCCACAGCTCTGATCACTCCATCCGCGCTCCCAGTGAAGAGATAGCGCCCGTCTCCTGAGAAACAGCTGCACAGAATGGGAGATCCGTTGGGGTTGGGGATGGACGTCTTAAGAGACATTGTTTCGTGGGAGTTAGGATTGCTGGGGGCGTAGATGTACACAGACCCGTCCCACGAGCACGCAGTCAGGATGTCCTCGCACGGGCTGTACTTTATCGATGATATAGAGTCAGATGGAGCCTGCTGTACTATGAAATCGTTTAACGTTGTTTCTTTATTTTGCTGCAGCGATGCAGACGTATTTGAGTTGTACATTCCTACTATTTGCTATTGTAAAAATTTTATTATTCACTTCCATAAAACAGAAAGCATTTCGCTTAGTGGCTCGGTGGTAGACTCGAAAATAAGAATGAAAAGAGCAGAAAAATAAAAGACGGGGTAAAGACAAAAGCAGTCTTATCAGCCAGTGAGTAGAATGCCGATGGCTCTTAGGATGATTTTTGAGAGTTCTTCAGATATATCTGCAGTCATTGCACTTATCTGTACTTTACTAGTTCTTGTGATATACTCACGATACCACTAATTTCTCAACTTTTCAACTTCTATTTCTGGGCTGCATTTCGGCTGCAATCAACACCCCTTCTACTTGGACATACTTCTCCAGCTACTTCTATCCTTCTCTATGTACTTTTTACGCACTCCAATGATTATTTGGTGGTATTGCAATATTTTTACGATTCTTTATCCAACATAGTGATCATAATAATTATTTTTATTATTCTTTTGAGATTATATGAGTATTAAGGTACTTTTAGTGCTATTTTTTATGCTATTTGGTATTAAAATGCGAGAATTTGACGTATCTGCTGCTTGTCTGCTCTCTGTGCTCTCTTTTTCTCTTTTTCCAATACTCTTTGTTTTTCGAGTGTAAAATATTTTATTATTTGATTAATTAAATTTAAATAATATTTTTTTTCATTTTTTATGATGCAATCACAGCAGAAGACGCAATTGAAAAAAATACTTCGTTTTGGTACTGTCGTAGTGGTGGTAGTACTGATAGCAATACTTCCATTCTACTGTATAAGCTTGAGAAATCAAAACAAAGCAGCTGATACTGCAGAGCCATTGATTGACGCAGAAGTAGAGCCCGTGCCCATCACTAAGACAGAAACAAAGACAGCCCCTGCTATATACTTCTTAATTGAGAAGAAGTCCGACATCACAAAAGTGTTCGAGAGAGAGAACATCATCCCTGTGAGATCTCTAAGAGACGAGGAGAAGGTAGCAAAGAAGCCTTCTCTATTCGGAAGAATAAAGGGGTACTTCACAAGAGAGGAAGAGAAAGAAACACTCGACATCACCCCAGAGGAGATGGCTATCCAGCTGGACAGCAGCAGAAACATTCTGCAGAACTACAACGGAAACCTCATCAGAAGAATAAACGACATGAGAACCGCTGAGAAGAAAGTGCTCATCTTGGACATAAGAATGAAAGTGCTGGAGCTATCCAGCATACTCCCATCCAAGCACACTCTGCTCGACGACTCAAACAGCCTCTTCTGGTTCACCGTGTTCTCCTCTGGTGACTCTGTCTTCGACTGGATGGCCTACACTCTCTCCCAGGAGGAGCTGGAGAACATCCGCAACGAAATCAGCGAGCTATTCGAGTCAACCGACTCTCCTTCGAACGTAAGAGCCAGCCTCTTCAGCACCCTCAAGGACTACATCACAAGAGTCTCCCAGGAGGCGGGATTCGGTGGAGAAATCACCAAAGTGAGAGAGTCGCTTGTTGACAGACTCAGAAAGTACAAGGCGCCCCAGGACATGATCAACGACTCAGAAGAGTCCTGCCAGACAGAGAAGCTTCTTCTGGCTCTTGACGTCCTCTCGTACCTTGTCCCAATGACTGATGACTCGCGCAATGAAATAGCCTGCAGAGTCAACGCGATCAAAGACAGACTCTACAACGCAACAGAGATTTCAGAGAAGAGACAGATGAACGACTACCTGAGAATAACCAAGAAGTACAACGAAGACCTCGTCAGCCTCATCAACAGATACATGCACTTTATCGCAGACCTGGAGCAGTATGTGAGCGTGTGCAGCAGAAGCACTGAGAACATGAAGAACATCGCAAGAAAGAACGAGTCATCGTACGTATACGACTTTGCAACAGATGCCAACCCAACAGACATCATCAAAGGCGTAGGAAACATGCTCGGCCTCTCTTCAGACATCTTTGCGCAGTACAGACAGCTGCTGGAGATGAACGATGACCTAGTGACTCTTGTGACAGTAACAGAGGAGGTGGTTGAGGTGCCAGTCATCGTAGACACCCCCATTGCCGTGGAGGAAGTCTCCTCCTGCAGCAGCCACTCCCACTGAGCAAGCCAGCCGCCTAGCAACTGCATATTTGTGCATTTCTTCTTATTTTGCGCCTAGTGCTCATATGAAACAGGGTTTCTAATAAATACCCTCGCAATAAATAAACATTAATGCAATTTCTTGTTCTCCTTTTGCTCCTTAGCAGAGCACACAGTAAAATGCTCGAGGCAGTAGACTACCCCTCCCGCTTCCTTGGGACAAACGGACACTCACTGTGTCTGACCTCAAGGGAATCCACCGCGAAAATACGCAAGAGAAAAGTGTTCTTGAGAAGAAACAACAAATTCTACACAATAGGCGTAGCGCCAGATGGAGAAAGAGCGGCTGTGCAGGAAGAGGCATACCCTGTGTACTCGTCCAGATTCATCACCACAACAGAACAAGTCCACCCAGACAAAGAGATGCATGCAGGCCAAAATGTACTCAGGGAGGTACACTATATTCCGTACGTCAATCTACCACAGAGCCCACACGGCCCCTTTTTCCACCAGTTCAGCGGACAGCCGCCATACGTCCAGCCGTACGAGCCGCACAGCACTGCTCCCTACGATCCGTTTGACTCGTATAAACAGCCTGGTATGCACAGACAGCCATCACACGACTACCAGTCTAGTAGATTTCCCTTCGATTATTATCCTCATGACAACCAGCCCAGCAGACAGACAGTGGATAAACAGCCGAGCAGACAACCACCGTATGAGCAGCCCTTTGACTCGTACAGCAGCAGTGCTCCTGAGAAAGCGGGCTATGAAAGTGTTCCGAATATGCCACCAAATGATATTCCGTACAGATCAAGCACACCGCACAGCCAGTCTGATCAGGCAGAGAACAAAACACACCAGCAGATTGCTACTCTACTAAGCACCCTAAAAGACACTATACACTCTATGCGTAATAGCCAACAGAACAGCACTGCCACGGAGAATGATAATACTGGATATGGCAGCACAGGATACAATAACACTGGCTATAACAATGTAGGTGATGACAGCCAGTATAACAACAGTGGTAATAGTAGCAGTAACAACAGTGGTAACAACAGTGGTAACAATAGAAATGAGATGGTTTATGGTTATAATGGCAGTAACTATGCCAGCAGTGGCAATAACAACAGAAACAGTAGCCATAGCAGTAACAATAGTAAACAGAACAGTAGTAATAACTATAGAAATAATGGCCGTAGTGGCAATGGGAATAGTAGGCGCAGTCATGGCAGCAATGCCAACCGCAACACTAGTAATAATGATAGCTCTGATAGCGGTGATAGCGGGACAGAAAGAGATGTAGAGAGCGATAGCATAGATGCCAATCCGTTTGATGCCAGGATAGTGGAAGAGGGTAATATGATAATACATATCGCTAGAGAAAGCAACAACCACTGTCTTAACTACATAGACAACAAGTTTCTGTTCAAGCCCTGTGATATCTCCAGAGACATAATTAGATTTAAAGTCATAGAAAGAGACGCAAGAGAGCGAGTAGACAGAGCAGAGCCAGCAGACAGAGCAGAAGAAGCAGAGAGCAGGATAAGCCCCGAAAGGAAGACGAAGCTAGACCTGGGCAGCATCACCATGCCCAACTACACTAACAAAACGGATAGACTATACGATAATATAAAAAACAACCTGCACGAGATGGGATCGCTGCTAAGAACAGGCGTGCTGAAGATGTCCAGATACAGAATGCCCGTGTCCTCCAATGCAATAACGAGAAGAAAAGACAGAAATATAAAGAGGGAGATAGAAAGAGAGATGGAAAGATGGAAGAGAATAGAGGCGAAAAGACCCTCTCTAAAGAAAGACTACGACAGGATAAAAAAGCACACCCGCGACCTAAAGAGAAAGATCAAAGATAGGCGCGCTCGCAGCAAGTTCAGTATAAGAGATATGTACAAGGACAGATTCAACCTTAAGAAGAGCAGCCGCAGCAAAAAGTACAGCAATGATGACAACTGTGATGTGGATGCTGATAGCTGCGATAGAAGCCATGATAGCGGCAGTAGTGACAGGCTCAATATTAGAGATATGTATGAGGACAGGTTCAACATAAGAGATAAAACAGACAGTAAGGATAGCACAGACGATAATAATAACTCAGCTCGTGATAGGTATGACAGTGCATCTGAGAACACGAAGCACCAAATACACGCAATAGTACCAATGCACCCAGTAGTACCTGTAGCACATACAATCAGCCACATAGTGCCAATTGATCATGCACCACAGTCAGTGCACTCAGTATACCCAGCACAGCCAGTTGATCACATCGTGCCTATCGTGCCAGTAGTAGAGCCAACTCCGCAGCCAGTTGAGCACATAGTGCCAGTGCACGTAGTAAAACCAACTTCACAGCCAGTTGGCATAGTGCCTATAGTGCCAGTGCATGTAGTAGAGCCAGCAGATCACATAGCTCCACCAATGGTACAGCCAGCGCCTGCAGCAAAGCCTGGCGCAGAGTCAGTGAGCCATCTAATGTCGCTGGCACAGTCAATGACACCCGAGCATCCTGATAGCGTGCCAGCTATGCCTGGTAGTAGTCTTTCTAATGCGTTTACTTCCTATCTCAGTCCACTCACCACAAGCACCAATCTAGTAGGGAAAGAGTCGCAGGGAAATAAGGGATACTTCAGCAGCATGCTGTCTAGCACGAAAGACAAACAGGCAAACAGCAAAACATCCAACCTATCAACGAGTAAGCTAAACAGCACTGCTGCAGTTGCCAGCCCGACGGCTAACAAAGTAAACATGCCCACCCGCAAGGCACTAAGCAGCCCGTTCTTTAGCACACTGAACAATCCAGTGAGCAGCTCGCTAACCAGTCCCCTGACCAATCCGCTAAGCAACTCAATAAGCAACCCCGTAGAGAACAGCACAGTAGGAAAGACCACAGTAAACAACCCAATGACCAATTCGCTAACCAACTCGCTGAATAGGTCTATTGGCAACTCGCTGAGCAACGCCTTTAGCAATCTGTCTAAGCTATCCAGCCCCATGCGCAGCTCACTAACTAGCCCGCTGCAGGACAGCAGCAAGATAAAGACCAGCCAACAGAGTAATTCGCTAAGCAATCCGCTGAGCAATACACTGAATAATCCACTAGATAATTTCCCAAACAGTACAGCTGACAGCACTAACTTACTGGGAAGTAGCCAAATGTCTAGTCCACTAGGCAGCACAGATAATAGTCTACTAGGTAATACTAATTCCCTAGCTAACTCATTCAGTAACGCTAATTCACTAAGTAATTCCTTGAGTAATTCACTAACAAATTCACTAGATAGTACCAATCCATTTGGTAACGCCAATTCACTAAGTAATTCACTAGATAATACTAATTCACTAGACAATCCTCTAACAAATCCACTAGGTAATTCACTAGGCAATGCTAGTTCACTAGATAATTCACTAGGCAATGCTAGTTCACTAGGTAATTCACTAGGCAATGCTAATCCACTAGGTAATTCACTAGGCAATGCTAATTCATTAAGTAATCCACTAGGCAATTCAATGGGAGGCCTAACTGGGCCCATGGGCATGATGAATATGAGCAGCAATCTAAGTGAGAGCTCAGAGCAGGGCAAGCAGAAGAATAGTGCTGGCGTGTCCTCTAGCAGCTCGCCCATGGATATATTCAAAAGCAGCCTAAACGACCTATTCAGCGGTGGCAGTGATAAGGATGATACAGTTGTTGTGAATCACATACCCACTGAGGGCTCTTCTGATAAGCCAGAAGAACAGGCCAGCGATAAGACGGCAGACAAGCCTCAGAAGCCTGCTGACTCTGCAGCTTCCAGCGCCTCCCAGAAGAAAGAGAATAAGCTCAGCGGATACGAGAGTCTTTTCAGTTTTTTATCGTAAATAAACACATATTATTATTCTTTCCCTGCTCCCTTGGAGAACAAAAACCTTTCTATTTATACTTTTGGAAGCTTTATTTACTACTTACCATATTTGGCAACTGGACAGCCCTATACTATCAGATAGGAAATGTGTATGCTCAAAAAGGAAATTACTGCTTAGAGCCCTAGCGCATAAATATAAATTATTTTTGTAAAAATTATTCATGGCACCAGTGCAGACAGTTCCTAAGCAGATGGAAGCAACATACGTTATGATAAAGCCAGACGGCATAAAGAGAAGGCTAGTGGGAGAGATCATCTCCAGAATAGAGAAGAAGGGATACAACGTCTCGTATCTCTGCACTGACTTTGCCACTGAGGAAATACTCAGAGAGCACTACAACGAGCTTGTATCTAAGCCTTTCTTCCCCAGCATAATTAGCTACATGACCAGCGGGCCTGTTGTCAAGATGATAGTAACAGGGCACGAGGTTGTCAAGGGAATGAGAAGACTGCTGGGCGCCACCAACCCAAGAGAGGCAGAGCTCGGCACAATCAGAGGAGACCTCGCCAACTGTGTAGGCAAGAACCTGTGCCATGCCTCAGACTCCGTGGAGAACGCAGCCCGAGAGATAGGAATATGGTTCAGCGCAGAGGCCATCCAGAAACAGTTCCCCATGGACGACTACTCTATGATCTACGAGAAATAAACTAACTATTACTACTAGACTATCTACCACTGCTAAGTTAATTGTCTGCTATGGCTACTGGAGCAGCTGATGTCTATCTGTCAACTGTGCCCTATTTATCCAATTGTCTGCCTGTGATCTGTTTATCTGTCTACTGCCTTTCTCAGTATGGTTATATTGTTAGTGCAGTTGTATTGGTTGCATTTTGTCTTGTGTTTCACCTGCGGCATGATCTATTTCAGTGGCTAGTCTGCTTGATGCATGTTTATTGATGCTCTCCTATTGGCCACTTTGCTCTTCTTGTGATTATTCTTCATATTTATACGCACTGTATGGTAAGTGTATGAATAAAATAGCATTGGCAGTAGTACTAGCAAACATTATAGCAGCAAGGTGTTTCTTTAATGAAATAGTAGACAAAGCACAGAACATAGGGAATAAGATAGGGAGTGCAGCCAAGAAAGCAGCTAAAAATACGCCTGTAGGAGCAGTGGCTGATAGCCTGTACAGCGAACTGGTTGAGCCAGAGGAGCCAAAGGGAGAGAAAGAGGAAGAGAAGAAGGACACAGCAGAAAAAGAAGAGCCAAGGGGAGAGAAAGAGGAAGCAGCTATAAACAGCGCAGAGAACAAGAAAGCGAATAAAGAGAATAATAAACAACAGAAAGGCCGTGCTAAGGATAGGAAAGCCAATCCTGACACAAAAAAGGACTCAAAGGGAAGTAAGCCAGCAGACAAAGCAGCTGATAAACTCATGGATAAGCCAGCAGACAAAGCAGCAGTCAATGCATAAGAATAAATAGTGGCTGTTTATTGTATTTAGATTTCTTTTGTTTGTTCAGATACTCAGGCTGTGTGATTGGTTAGTATTTTGCTACGCTGAGTATTTTATTACTTGTATTCTTATTTAGTAAGTGTATATTTTATTTTTATATTTATTTTTGTAAGTAAAGTGTACTTGGGAATATACGTACGTCTTGGTTCTTATTGTGGCTAGTATAATTTAGTTATATACTGCTCTCTTTCCAGAATTATGTAGACTATTGTTCCTAGAGTGTTGCGTATGGTGTTAGACACGCCGATTACATAGCTATCCAAGCACAGGTACGTGTTATACGAGGGAACAAGATACAAGCTGCAGCCCATCAGGATTATAAAGATGGGCTGTATATCGTATATAAATATAGACACAAGCACCACCAGCGTGCTAATTACTGTTAATATTATGTAGTCCTTGGGGTACTTGTTGGCGTATATCCATTTAAACATAGTAACAGACGTAAAAATAGTCAGATACATGGATGTGTTGGATATGGTGGAGAGTAGGCCCACTATTCCTGTGGAAATGAACGATATATTCACTTTTTCTATGATGGAAGAGACTCTGTTGGCTGTCTTCCTCTTGTCTGTGCTGTATCTGCTGACCAGCTCAGAGTATTCGTCATAGAAGCAGGAGAAAGGCGTGTCTTTGAAGATTCTCGAGAGTTTGTTGTAGACAGGGCCGTACAGAGCAGATGCGTCCTGCGGGTTGATCAGCTCAACAGGCGGCGTGGGAGCACAGAGCACAACTAGCGCGACCTGGAGGCAGACAAGAGCAAGAACAAAAAAGAAGGACTGGAAGATAGGGGCGAACCCAGGGATAAAAGACAAAAAGAAGAAAAACACGCAGGCCTGCATTGTCATCAGGATGCCCAGCAGAGAGATGGCAAGATCCCTGAAGGGAGAGAGCGAGAGACGGGAGGTGTGTATCTCAGCAACTGTCTGGGAGTACGCTAGAAGAAACCCTACACAGAACGCCCTGAAATACCCAGAGGGCAGGAAGAAGAGAAGGAAAGAGGCAGCTGAGGATACAGTCAGCTTTGTTTTTGTGCTTTTCCCAATGATAGCGAGAAAAGAGAGAGATCCTGCAAGGAGAGTCACAAGCACCTCCCAGGGGTCAGAGATTATGCAGGACAGAGCAGCAGGATAGGAGGAGGCAATGACTACTGCGAAGATGGATAGTTTAATGGGGGCAGGCACAGTGCGCGTGTCGTATTCTGGCATTGTTTGAAAAGTCTGCAAGTATTTATTATACAGTGTATCAGAACGCGTGCCCAAATAAAAACAAACAAAACAGGCTAGGCAGACTAATCAATACTGGAGCGCCAAAGCACTGGAAGAACAGCAAGATATCTGTTGCAATGTGTACAACCAGCAGAAATGCACAAGAAGCACCATCTAGCTAGATTATGGTATAACTCTGCACAGCAGCTGAATGCAATATGTCTATATAGGGCAATCTAGTAACTATTTATTTATTTATTGCAATCCAATACTAGCTAGGTAAAAGAATAAGTCGCCATAGTGTAGTGGTTATCACGCATCCTTTACACGGATGAGGTCCCCGGTTCGATCCCGGGTGGCGACATTTTCTTTTTATTTTTATCTATTCTTTAGCGCTCTTCTGCTCTTCCAGCGCGTCCTTTAGGGCCTTCTCTGCGCTCTCTGCCTCTTCTTCTGTTTTCAAGCGTATTCCTCCCGTGTACTGCTGCGCGCTCTGCTCTACTCCCGTGAATATCAGCGTGTTGCTCTTGCAAAGCAGCTGGGAGCTATGCGTGATCAGCATATTCATTATGATCCGTGTGTTGTCCAGTATGAACAGCAGCTGTATGCCTTTTCCTGTGATATTCCTGGCCTGCAGTCTGCCTTCTGTTACCTCCTGCCACTCTTCCTCGTGCTGTCTGTAGAGCACTCCCCTCACTGTGAGAATAGTGGGGTATACAACAGTGCTTGTCTGCGGCTTCATCTCCTGCTGTGCTTCTTCAGCTGGCTTGGTGATGGATATTTGCTGCGGCTTCAGCTCTTTCTTTTCCTTTGGAGCCTCATCGAGAAAAGACTTTGCTTTCTTCATTCTGCTCAGGAGAGTGTCTTTGTTCTCCAGTGCCATCTTAAAAATGCAAAGAATATTTTCTTATATACAGACAGTATTTATTGGGCAGTGCGCTTCTATATATGCACATTTTTTTATTTTTGCATGAACAGCCAGCTATCTAACGGCAGAGCAGCAGAGGATGTGCAGCAGGAGCAGAGAGAGCAGGAGAGATCGAGCAAAGATATGGGTGCTGCCAATGGCCACTGCACAAAAAGTGACCAGGCCATAAAAGAGCATCTTACTGAGCTGTTTGACTCTCTCCCGCAGAAGAGCCCACTGAGAGATAGAATAGAGTTTACTGTCTGTGAATCAGTAGCCACTATCTCAGACAAAACCCGTTCTGACTCTAAAAAGATACGCCTTTTTTCTCCTTTTAGCTATCTTAAACACTTACTGGACGGAACAGAGGGGAGCATGCTAATAGACCAGCTCCTCTCGCTATTAAACACGCCCTCTTTGATGACTCTGCACGCTCTGCCAGATGTCCATGCAGGGAAGGTCTTCCCGGTGGGCATATCCTGCACTTACAGCGCAGATAGCCCGTCGTGTGCAGTGATTCCCGACCTGATAGGCGCAGACATCAACTGCGGCGTAAGAGTATGGAGCACAGCGATAAAGAAGAGCCTGTTCATGGAGAAAAGACAGAGGATAATGGATCTAGTGGCAGAGCGCATAAAAATAGATGTAAGATGCAGCGATGTGCCTGTGCTTGGAGATGAGAACGATGGTACGGCTATAAATAGCAGCAATGCACAGTCTAGTGCTGCAAAAGGCAACAAGTCCACAGACTGTTGCATAGACGGCATTGGCACTGTGAATATAAATAGTGTTGTTACCGAAGGAATCAGCTATCTCGTGCGCATAGGCCTGGCCACTCCTAGTGACCTCTCCTGCACTGAGTATGCTGGGTCCATGCCCGTCTCTTCTGGCCGCGTGCTCAGTGCTAAGACTAAGCACAGGGGGATAGTTCAGCTGGGCACGCTAGGCAGCGGCAATCACTACCTAGAGTTTCAGTCTGTTTCCAAAGTCTACAATAATAAAACATGTACAGATTTGGGCTTGGATACAGATAGCATATGCATATCGGTGCACACAGGAAGCAGAGGGCTGGGCAGCAGAGCAGTGCATGAATACCTAAGTAAATGCCATTTGTATAGGAATGCCGCCACAGGAGTATGCGAAGTGCCGCTAGATAGTAAACTAGCACAGGAGTACCTAGAGACAGTCAATGCCTGCAGCAACTATGCCTTCTGCAACAGGGTTATCATAGGAAAGCTGCTGGAACAGATACTGCTAGAAGTGTTCAATGAAGACATTCGCATGGGAGCAATCAGCGACTCAGTGCACAACGTGATGAGACTAGAAGGCAATGTTCTTACAGTCAGGAAAGGATCTACTAAACTGGGAAATACCAGTAGCACTGCCATAAAAGGCAGTAGAGATATATCTGTAAGCAGTAATAATATGCCTAGTGTTGTAAGTGTGGGTGGCTCTATGTCCACGGGTAGCTACATCCTGGAGGCAGGGCCCAGTGCTTCTATGACTGATTATACGACATGCCACGGGTCTGGGCGCATTATTAGACGCAAAGATGTCTCCAGCACCATCTCTTTAGCCGATACCTTCAGTGAACTCTCCACTGCCGATGTACTGGTTCTGGCTGGCAACGCAGATAAGCTGCCAGAGGAGTCTAGCAGAACGTATAAATGCATAGACGCAGTGGTGGAGTACTGCGAGACTGTGGGAATATCCAATAGGGTGTGCAAGCTAGTGCCTCTGTCCGTGTTAAAGGGATAGATAAATAATAAAGAGTGCATATTTTATATAGTACACACTCACCCTACTATTTCTATGTTAGTGTATACAGTGCTGTAAGTGTCTTGTTTTTGCAGTACGGGCTAAAAAGAAAGTATCAGAACATAGTGCACAGAGTGTATTTATTAGTGTCTGTGTACGCATTTCTACACCAAGGGCTATCCGTTGTATTTCTCGAACAGCTCGAAATACCTTTCATACTCCTCTTCGCTCATTCGCTCTTTGTCTGCCTCTGTCACTGCACTGAACCGCTTGGCCACTCCCTCCACCAGCACAGTCTCTTCTTCTGAGTCTAAGTTCGCCCCTGAAGCTGCCTCTTCTGTTTTTTGCTTCTCTTCTTCGGCTATTTCTATCTCTTCGATGGGCGCCTTCACTGTTTCTTTCGGTGCTGCCTCATCTGTGCGCATATTTTCATAGAGTATGTGCCCTGGTAGAAGCACCTGCTGTGCCACTGCCTTTCCTCTAACTATTTCAGGTATTCCCACGGCGTCTATCTCCTTAAGCTGTGCGATCACAGGGGACACAGCATCCATCATTCGAGAGAACGTGTTGGACACGGCGTCCTTGTCGTTCCCTGCTGTTTCCTTTGTTTCTGTTAGGCTGTTCTTGCACTCTGGACACTTGAACGAGAAGTCGTCCATGGAAAGGAAGGACTGCGCATCAAGCACAGAGTATGTGACATTGCAGAGCGAGCAGCCTAGGCCCTGCACGGTTTCCTTCTCCCGCAGGCTCCTTTCAAGTCTCTGCGTCATTGTGTATATTTTGTACTTGATTACGTCACGGATTGTTCTGAAATCAAGGAAGAACCTCGTGCGGGTCTCTTGGCGGCCGTCGTCCTTCATTTCGCTTGTGGTCTCTGTGGAAAGGAGCCTGTCGTCCCGCAGGCGGACAGCCATTCGATTGAACTCCCGCGGAAGCAGCTTCATTTTGTCCGCCAGATCATCTTCATCGAGTGAAAGATGGCGCAGCATGATGTCCATGATCACTACGTGGCACGGCTCGTAGAACATCCGCACAACTCTTTGCACTAGCTCCTCCATAGGCTTTCTTGCGTCTTCCATGGAAAATATTTAATTTACTGGACACACTGCAATAAGTAACAGAAATAGCAGACAGAGTATGCACAGAGATACGCAGGAAAAGTGCAAGAAGTAGTAATACAAGCAGAGTACAGTAAATAGCATACAGTGAGCAGTAGTTAGCAGAAGTATAGTAGACATAGCATAATAAGTCGTAGCATGGTGACTCTTATTCACTCCACTGCAGGTGTCTACTGTATTATTTGGATTCACTCTGCAAGTGTCTATGCACGCATGTATGGATAGGAGCCTGGTACCAACAATGTATCTGTCGGGGGACTAGCTCAGTGGTAGAGTGTCCGCTTTGCATGCGGAAGGTCGGGGGTTCGATCCCCTCGTTCTCCATTTTTTTTTGTTTTTTTCTGCCCCCGTCGATGGAAACACAGAACAAGCTGAATAACTCTCCCACAGAAGAACAAGAGCTCAAGAAATCAGAAGAGTACGTAAAGAGCCAAGAAACTGACGAAATAATCTTCTCAGCTGAAGCATCCCTCTACAGATACCTTGCAGCCGAGCAGTCCTGGACGGGCAGAGGGAAAGGGAAAATGAGAGTCTCCCTGGAGCCAAAAACCAACAAATACAGAATCTCCCTCATCAGAGAAAAAGTGTTCAAGCACGGCTGCAACCACTTCATCAAAGAAATAACAGCGCTAGAGAAGTATCCCATATCAGAGCACGCCTGGCTGTGGAATGCCTTTGGAGACGACTGCGGCGATGGCCTCAGCCCGACACAGACATACCTTGCTAAGTTCAACACAAAGGAAGACGCAGAGAACTTCCACACAGCAGTGAACAAGGGCATAGCGCACTTAGCTAGCGGTAGCAAAGGCACGGTTAAAGAAACAGTTAGAGAAGAGCCAAATAAGGAAACCGTTAAAGACAAAGAAGAAACCAAGGAAGAAGCTAAAGAAGAAGTAAAGAAAGAGTCCAAGGAGACCGTTAAAAATGATAAGAGCAACGAAGTAGCCAAGGAAGAGTCTGAGGAAGCAGATAAAGAGGTATCTGAGGAAGCAGCTAAGGATGAGTCTAAGAAGAAAACAGCTGCAGAGCCATCTAAGAACGAGCCCAAGAAGGTAGCTGAGGAAGCAGCTAAAGAGTAAGCCGGCTAATCATCTTAGCAACAATAAATAAATATTTACTATTTGAAACATCTAATGAAAACTGAAACACGTGATAAATAAGCGATACTTTTGTTGTCTAAGGATGCGCACGCTAAAAGAGAAACTGAGTCAGTCATTCGAGCACTTGTCTGCGCTGCTAAATAAGAGCACAGAAGCCGAGAAAAAAGGCATAGAAAATACACTAGAGAGGATGAAAAACATCACAGTAGCAAAGGAGGGGAGCAGAGAAATAGAAAGCGCGCGGAGAAAAGAAGCAGACGATCTGGCAGAGATTCGGAGGAACGTTGAATCTCTTCTGGAGATGGCCACTGCAGACAAAAAATCAGTTAAAAAAACGGAAAAAGACCAGAAAAAGCAAAGCAGAAGGTATTTGGAGCAGCTGGAGCAGATGTCATCGTCAAGCGAGTGGAGTGAAGAAGAGAAAGAAGCTAAGTCCAGCTGTTCAGTTACTGAATACCTCAAAGGAAAGAAAAACACAAATGAAAGAGGAAGGGAGACAGAAAAAGAAATAAAGAACAAAACAAAAAACGAAGCGAAAAACGAAACAAAAAATGAATTAAAGAATGGGGCAAAGGCGAACGAAAAAGGGGCTGTCTGTGTTCCTCTAGTGAAGAAAAAAGAGATGGGATCAGGAAACGATGGATTGGCAGGAGGAGAGAAGAATGGCTCATCAGGTGATGCAGTAAAGAAGGCAGCGGTATACGGATCGCTAGCTAGTGGTGTACTGCTGTCACAGGAGATGAAAGGGCAAAACCAAAGCCAGGAAATGAAAAATAGCAAAACCGAAAAATCAAAAGACACAAAAAACACAGCTGATGCCAAGCATGCACTTGATGGAAAAGAGAAGGACAAAATAAAGGAGAAGAAGACAGCAGACGGAAAGACCGGAGAGTCGAAAGATGCAAAGGATGCAAAAATAAAAGATGGAAAAGCAAAGGAAAAGGAGACAGCAGATGGGAAAGAAAAGAGTAAAATGAAAAGTGGAAAAGAAAAAGAAAAAAGAAAAGAAGAAGGAAGTGTACAAACAGATGATAAGAGCCACCTGGCGCTAGGCAACAAATTCAGTGATAACTCTGGCAAAGACAAGATGAAAAAAGAACAGAAACTGCCATCAGATAGCACAAAAATACCAGCAGCTGTGCAAGTAGCGCCCATAATAATAGGAGGAAAGATAAGAGCACAGTCAACTGCCACAGAGCACGACGAAACAGCAGAAGAGAAACAGAAGACATCCGGAGAAACAACGCCCTTTGACTCCACCTCGTATACAGATGCTTCAGCAGACGGCTTGCTGTTCAGCAACCCTGAAGTAGGGAGAGTCGAAGACAAGCTGGAGTTCATAAAAAAACAGGGAACCATCGAAGACGACGCAAGGCTGTACGGAATGATAACCAGTACAATCGAGAAAATGAAAGAAAGAAAAGACTTTGAGGCCATAAAACTCTCTATGCAGATGGACATAGCACGAAAATACATAAAAGACTTCATAGACCTGCGCGTAGCCATGCAGGGAACAGAGTCCGCGTCGACAAAAGAAGACAGAAGGAACAAAAGAAAGAAGATGCGCTCAAGATTTCCAGCTGAGCAATAGTGAGCCTGTCTAACTACTACTAATTACGATGCATTATCAATAAAGTTTTATCTACCTACAGCTCAGTTCACATATACTACAGAAGTGCTTTACTCTCTTGTTATTTCTTCTATTCAATGGCTAGAAAATGAAGTGTATTTATTTTTATTGTAATTTTACAAAAGAGTACATTCTAATGAGTGAAGACTTTTCTACTACTGCAATAAAGTTTTAATTGCCTCAATAAAAATGAAAATAAATAATTGTGGCTATAACTGGTTGATACTAATTCAAGCACATTGAGAGCAGTAAGATGATTTATTGACCAATGAAGTGTGGAAAAACAGTAGCAGCGAAATAGTACTACAAGAGAACACTCTAGTTGCAAGATATTAGGATGCACTAGAATAAATACATGTAGCAGTATAGTTTATGGTTGCCTATGCATTCTGTCTTTAATTATTTTTGATCTTTTTTATTCGAGCATGCGCCAGCATTTCAAATTCTGTGATGTTTTATTGCAAAGTGTTTCACTTTTTAGCTAGGATACAGTATAACACATTGGTTTACATTTAGGTATTTAAGGCGGAACATTCATTAAGATATGAACCTGTGGCGATCTTTTTACTCTCTACTTCTAATTGCAGTGGCAGCTACTGGCTCGATCAGAGCTGATATGGAGCTCGCAGTGGGGGGAATGTTTCCAGCCAGCAACACCATTCCTGTGACAGTTTACATTCCCCCGGAGGCGTACGATATTTACAAACAGCAGGGCATAGAAATCGTGTCAAAAGTAAACTTGGTTTTCAAAATGGTAGAGCTGGGGATAAACAAGGCAATGAAAGAAATAAAAAGCGAGAGAGTATTTAGCATTGTGCCGAGGATCAGGAAGCCTTCTCTAGACCCAAGGCACAGAGTATGTCCAAGCACCCTTAGCCAAATGGCTATATTTCTCTCTCGAGTGTACGATGAGTCTGGGGGCAATAACTCTTTCATTTTTATTACGCCCTGTCCTCTGCTGGAGCTTCGCAAGAAAGTCAGAAGATTAAGGCAGCCAGACTTTTACATATCGCAGCGCATAAACGGAACACACAAGACGATGAACCTGGTGTCAATTGAGATAGAGCCAGCAACCATGATATCCACTTTATCCAGAGCCATATTAAAGGCATGCGATTTAACGGACATAGAGCCTCTTTCAGTGATATCAGCCATGGACGTATCAAACGGTCTGTCTTTTGGGGTCAGCATAAGGAAAGAAACAGCACAGGAGATGATTCTTAAAGAGTACTCTTGATAGTTAGCCTCAATGATCAAAGAAGTGTATCACAAAGATAAAAACACGTATCTTTCTAATAAGATACACCTTGTAAAATAATCTAAAAATAAAGCAAATATTAACAAGCTGGTTGACTGATATTGCTAGGCATCTCAATGATCCAGAAGCACTTCACTAAAAAAGAAAAAATTAATCCTCTCAATTGAGCTCTAGCGGATAAATAGTAATGATGTGATAGCACAAGTAGTATAAATAGTGCTGGTTAGACTCCCAATCACATGATAAGCATGCAGTAAATAAGACTTTGCTAGGAATCTATCACTCATTGACTATTGTAGCTATGGTAGATTGCCACTGTTCTACTATCTATTTCTGCAATACATACACATCCAGATGAAGATTGTTTATCTTTATCCCTGTTGCAACAGATAGCTGTCCCTAAGTATTTTTAATATTAAAATAACAATTTATTGTCTTGCTTTTACTTCTTATTAACAGATGGATTGTTATTCAATGGCCCCTGTGAGCTTGTATCTTGTTTTTGTTTTTTCATGAGTTCTTCACAGAGTGTGATATTTTTGCTGTTGAACTTGATGTTCAGGAAATGGTTTACGCCTAGGCTCTTCTCCAGTATTTTTACAAGATCTTTCACCCGTCTGGGCTCTTCTGGCTTGCTGCTGTCCTGGAATGCCTGGATCTTTTCTTCTGTGTGTTGTTTTTTCATTTGCAAAAACAAACTCAGAAATTATCTTTCAATGTTTCAGTCCTCTGGTGACCGAACTGACCACCAGCTTTCTCCAATGTACTTCTGCGATACTTCCTGATGCAGCGGGCGCACTGGCGGGAACACGCCCTCTGCTATATCGCACAGGTCGCTGTGCGTCAGCTTTACAATCCCATTCCTGCCTGTGGATATCTCGCTCAGCGTGTTGACAATGAAAATGCGCCCAGGGTCTATCTCGCACACTTCATACGCCATTCTATCGCTGTTTTTATTCCCAAACCCTGCATGTATCCTGCCGTTCTGCAGCAGCCCCTTGATCTCAGATATAACGGATATTTTGAACTCTTCAGGGCCCTGCACCACTTCCTTGTATATAGCAGACAGCAGCCTTCCGGGGAACAGTATCACAGGGCCGTTGGGAAGTGTGCGGTGGTTCTGCTCCACTCTTTCCAGATACGACTTCGTTAGGCCAATGTGTCCAATAGGGCGCGAAGACAGATATACTATTTTGTACCCATTTTCCACTATTTTGTTGTAGAGAGCCGCTATGCCTAGGTGTGTCCAGTCCTTGCCCATTGCCCCATATATGTACCCCACTAGATCGCTTTTTGTCACTGTTCCGTCTATGTCTGAAATAACAACCTTGTCAAAGTCGTCCCACAGGTAAATATTGCAGGTCAGAAATATTGGTGTGCCGGAGAGTCTGTAGACCGCCTTGTTAGGGCCTGGGACTAGGTGCATCTCGTCCAGGTACTTCTCAGGAAGATACACCTCTCTTTTTCTTCTATCTGGCGACTGTTCTGGGCGGACTCTTTTTTTCAGCAGCTGTTTTATCAAAAACTTTTCTGTATATTTTTGATTTTGCTCTTCATGCACATCATTTTCTGGCCGCTCTCTGCCATTCAGCGAGCTGTCTGCGCCAAGAGACGCACTGCCAGTGCCTGCTGCATTCCTTCTCTCCACGCAGAAGTACAGCTCACTGAAGAGACAGAACGTCATAAAAAACACGATCTCTGTGCTGCTTTCTTCGTACAACCCGATCACCACCGCATCATTTCCTATGAATGTTTTGATTTTGTGCTCGCTAAACACCTCCTGTATCCTGTTTGGCACGACCTGCTTGTAGATGCACTCACTGAACACGTACTGTCTGTTTAAAATGCATTCGTAAATTCTTTCGTAGTTGGAGAGAAGGAACGAGTAGTTGTTCTCCGACTCTATGAACATTTTGAACGACTTGAACGGGCTGCTGATGAGCGCGTGCTCTGTGTGGTGCGGACTGTGGTTTACTCCAAAGAAAACGTTGCCTTCTCTGTCCAGCCTCGCCTCTATGCTTATTACTCTATCATTTACTATTAAAATTACCTCTCTGGACATTTTGAACGAATGAACACTCCCAAAGCGTGCATGGAATCCCGTGGAGTACGCTCCCTTGGACGTCCTGGTGACTATGACGTCGTTTGCTCCACTTATCTGCCCTGGGTGGATGTCTTTGTAGAGGTCCGTCATTGAGTTAAACACTCTTCCCATGAAGTTCATTAGAATGCAAAAAACATGTTTGATTTATTGTGTTTGTTTCTTAATTTTTCCAAGCGCACTTTCGCTCATTTTCATCCAGCTGGTCAGCTCTGCGGTAAAGTGCGCCAGAGACTGGTCTATCTCCCTTTCTCTTTCCTTCACCGAAGAGATTTCTCTCTTTATTTTTGTGCTTTCTTCCGTTATAAAAGCATCGAGCTCGTGTGCAGACTCTGAAATGTGCGAAGAAAGCACGGAGGAAATGGCATTCGGATCAGTGATGTCGTATAGGGTGTTGGGCTGTCGCTGTATCAAGCTGTCTAGCTCGTTCAGCTTCGAGGGAATGGAGTACTTCAGCAGCAGCTGTGTGAACAAGGAGTGGATATCTTCTTTCACTTGCTCATCTATCTCTGCTTCTGAGAAGAGCTGGCTCAGCATTTTCTCAAAGGCCGATTTCAACTTCAACACTCGCGGGCCGTCCATGGAAGAATAAAAATAAATTACTAGTTACCTCGGAATAAATTGCACAGGAAATTGCAAAATAAAAAAGAAAGCGTAGTGTTCTCTAATAGGCGATTATTGAACAGACAAAGTAGCAGAGCAAAAGATAACTTAAACTGTAACTATTCAAGACATGGAGACTTTGCAATCTAAAAAAAGAGGATTAGAAATATAAAACAGAGCACAAAGTAAACAAGGAAGCCCTTGGGCATAGGACAAAAGTATGCACCAATGTAGCATAAGAGCACTCTTTAGTACACACAATTGCAGTACTGCACTCTGACTGATTAACTTAGTACCAACAAGCAATTAATTGATCGTACTAGAAAAACCATTTTTATTGTTTATGCACTTTGAAATAAAAAGCCACTGAATGAGCGCCGGGTGATGGGCTCTGTTTGTGGACAGATTGGATTGCATTTATTTATTTATATGATGATGGCTGTTTAGGCCCACTCTTTCAGCTGGTCTGTGTACTTTTGGAGAGTGAGTTTTATGTGGGTCAGTTCATCTGCCGACTCCAAATAGCAGATGATGTACGCCTTCTTGTACGGCAAAATGTCCCTCACTTTGTCTATTAGCTTGGAAGTGTAGTTTTTTGTCGTTTCTGCCTTCTGCACTGCAAATATGTGGATCTTCAGCTTTTCTCGGTCTATGAAAACTTTTAGATCTATTTCGCCAGACGGCCTTTCAAGAACTTCTTCATAGAAGAGGGGAGGACAATTATCCATCCCAGGAGAAGCACGCGGGCATATAAAGAAAGACCAAAGACCAATCAAGATGGATCTGCCTTTATTCACGGAGAACGCGATCAGCGGTGCAAAGAAAAAAGCAATGCTCCCTCCGAGAATCGAACTCAGGTCTGCACGGCCACAACGTGCCATAATAACCACTATACTAAAGGAGCCACTGAAAGTTGAGAAAACTGCTACGAGTCGTAAAGTACTTAGAAAAATAAACTGTTTTTTTATTGTGCTGCATGGAGAGAGAGCTAAGAGAGTGTCTGCAGAAGAAAACAGCAGGAGTGTTTGGAGGGTACTCAAAGGAGGCGTATGTGCAGGAAGTGGTGTGCTATTTGATAGAGAGGTACCAGAAGAAGAAGTACAACGAGCGGCCAGCCAAGCAGCCAGAGGTAAAGAAAACGAGGCTATCTTCGTTTGAGAACTACACAGAGACCACGTCGCTGAACAGGTGCACGGTATGCATTGTAGTTCCTAACGCAGGGCTCGTGGCTGAAATAGTGGCTCGTCTCTTGGAGAATAAAAGCCTCCATTTGAACGAGCTGAGAAAGGGGCAGTATGCAATGACGGGAGATGACAACGACGACTTTATCCTGCCTCTGAACTATACGGAAGAAGAAGGATTCAACGAGACAAGCAACTATCAGGCAGACATTGTGATAGCAACCACAAAAGCACTGGTTACTCTGGGCGATAAGCGGATAGATAGAAAGAAATACTTCATCGAAGAAAAAGACCAGCTGGCTGACTTCAAACAGAAAGTCAAACAAGAAATGAATATGTACGCTTTTCTATCCGGTGTAGACACAGCCATTCTGATGGATGCTGATATTTTGCACATACAAAACCCCCTCTCTCTTTTGGAAACAATAAGAATATTGGAAGAGTCAAAGCCTGCACCAAAACAGAACTTGAACCTAAGATACCTAAGCAGCGGGCCGGAGAAGAAGGCGTTCATATTTCTAGCAAATATCATCACACCCGAGCTGGTGAGTATATCGAGGAAGTACGAGCATGCGAAAGTTTTGTCAAAAAAAGTAACAAAGAGCACAAAAATAAAAGACAGCATGCACTTCAGAATGAACAAAAGCACAGAGGTAAACAAGTACACAGAGCACCACATAAACAACCTAACAAATAAGTGCGAAAGAGTGCTGGTTGTCCTGAAAGACTCGGTTGAGCTGAAAAAGATAGAAGCAGAAATCACAGACAACTCTCCAATGAGCATACAGGGCATATTCTTCATGGACGAATACACGCCCACCTCAAAAATAAAGGATGCGCTGGAAAACAGGAAGAGAAGAGTGTGGATTATCACGGAAAGATTCATATTCTACAGAAGAAAGAGGCTTTCCAGAATAGTCACACCTTTCAACCCAGTCAAAGTGTTCTCCCCGCACATTGTAAACCCAAGGCTGCTGAAGCTCTTAGCTGACACGGTAAGCCCGCAGGAGACAGAGGACAGCATTTACAGCTCGCCCATCATCTTGACAGCCACCAGCACAGCAGAAGAATACTTCTTAAGCGAGCTGTTCGGAAAACAAGTGAGCATATCTGAGCTATTTGCATACTGCGATGACATAAAAATGAACAAAACAGAAGAAGAATAAAGATATAGAGATATAAACAAACTAACTGTGCCCATCTTCTATCTAGTGCATGGCTGTCCTGCAGAGTTTTCAGAAGGAAAGCAATCTTTTTCTGTTTATAGACGATTTGAACATTGGCACTCGGCGGGCTTTAGAGGGTTATTGTGCTTTATAAGTATATTCTGCGGCACAGAACATGAAATAACTGAAAACTTTTATTCGAGAATATTTTTATTTGTTATGGAGAAGAACTTAGAGCTGAATACACAGGCCATTCCTTTCGTCATAGGAACATTTAGCGTTGTGTTTATGCTGGCGCTCAGTGCGATAGGTGCCACAGTGGGATCAGTTAAGTCTGCCTCTTCTGCTGCTGTTGTCTCAAACAGAGGAGTCGATCTGATTACCAAGTCGTATCTTCCTGTGCTCTTTGCATCTGCGGGCTTTATGTATTCGATTATTGTCACGTTCCTGTCTCTTCCGAAGCTGCAGGAGAATATGACCATAGACACGGCGTGGAAGGTGATGAGTGCGTGTTTTATCTACGGAATAGGCTCGCTGTTCTCTGGGCTGGCCATAGGAGAAGCCAATAAGCATGCGATTGTCCGGCTAAGCGAAAACAGAAAAGTGTTTCTGTCGATGATCATCATAAACTCAACCATTGAGCTGCCAGCCGTGTTCTCTCTTATCTGTTCAGTAATAATTTTATCATAATCCATCATAAAGAATAAAACAAATCCAACCGAAATGTCGTCTCTTTTTCTCTATCTCATAGTCTATCTCTATCACTGCCCGAGATGTTTCATGCTCTCTTATTCATCTGTGCTACTTTCGTTTCAGGTTCTTCTATTTATTCGTGTGCTGTGCTCAAAATATGAATGAAAACGACTCTCTTTCCAAGTCCATCCGGAGAAGCAGAGATGCCTACAGCAGAATAAAAATGAACATGACAGTGGAGGGATCAGAAGTGTCCATTACCTCAAAGTACAGACAGCCTGTGGAAAGGATAAGAGAAGTAATAAGAGTTCTTGACGGCATAGAAAAGGCCAAAATAGGGCTGAGCACGAAAGTGTCCAACGACTCGGTTGAAGAAAGGTACAAAGAATACAACAATTTTAAGTTCATAAAAGAAGAGCTAAAAGAGTACAGAAAAACAGACATCATCTCAGAGCTCTTCCGGAAGATAAAAGAGAACATGAAAGAAACAGAAGAGTTTCTCGATGACATCGCAAAGAAAAGGCTTATTCTGATGCTCCAAGGGAAGAGCCACAAGAACTGGGCAGAGTATCTTGTGAACAAAGAGGAAAAAAAAGAAGTGTTCGTGGGAATAGTCAGAGAGTACATTGAAGCAACGCTGAAAAGCCACTTGGACGACAACTCAGAGACAATAGCCGACCTATTCCTTGATATAGAAGTGTTTGCAAAGCACGGATTTTCAGAGAGAAAAGCACAGGAGGTAACCAAGGAGCTGAAGGCCTTTGCCAATAATAAAATAATTAATGAGGTTGGGAAAAGATGCTACATTTTCATAAAAAACGTAAACTCTCCGATAAGGAAGCTAAAAGACTATCTAGCGTTTGTGGAAGTAATGAGCAGCAATAGCATTAGAACCGTCATTAAAAAACAGAAGATCGAAGAGAAAGTAAGGAAAGTGCTGGTGGCTACGTACAGAACTCTGCACACAGAGGCAGAGGACCAGTTTACAACAGGAAAAGTAAACGAGAAAAAACTGTTCGACAAAGACCTGTTCCATCTTTTGGAGATAGTCCACAAAATAGAAGAGGTAAAAGCATTCCTGGAGATAAGACAGGAGAAGCAGAAGAAGCTAAGCGAGTTCTACGAAGTGTCAAAGGAAAAGTCAAAGCAGGCATCAAAAATGGAGGGGATGATATTTCTACTAAACTCAGTCCATTTGATAAACTCAATGAGGGCAAAGAAGTATCCAGAAGATGAAATAGTGCAGGAAATAGCACAGGAGATGAAGAGAAAAATAAATAAAGCAGTGGAAAATCCGAGCAAACAGAACAAAATAGGAGAGCTATTGAGATACATAGAAAAAACATCCGCAAAAACAAAACACTACACAGTGCCGCAGGAGGTAAGAGAGACTTTGATAAGAGAATACAAGATAGCAGTTAGAGAAATAGGAAGCAAGTACGGGGGATTGGACGACGTAAGTGACTCCCATCTTTCTTCAACAATTGAAGGGTTCTTTAACGGCCCTGCAAGAAAACTAGAATTCATACAAAGCGAAAGAGAAGAAGGACAGCCAGGGGAAGATGAAAGAATGCAAGCGAACAGCCAAAAGAAAAATAAAAGAAAAGAAAGAAAGTGAGAAGTTGGTTGATTTATTAAGCATTCATTCTGAAACTGTATTAAAATATTCTTTGTTAACTTTTCATTCGCGGCCTCTCAAGAGCTTATTGCACAGAAATAAACATACAATAACGGATGGAATCTCCCTCCTGCAAGCAACTAAAACTAAACTATTTATTATCTACTCTACTTTAGCACAGATAGCTGCTTTCATCTGTTTATTACTAAATGTACATAGCGTACTATGTCTGTCTTTATGTTCAAAGCATTCTCTAGTTCTGTGGCATATTCTGTGGCTCACCAGAGAATAAAGCCGTTCCAATGGCCCCCAGGCCCAGAAGAGCTCCAAGAGTGGTGAACATCCACGGGGCGAAGAGGAATACTGCTATAAACAGCGCTACTATTATAATGATAACGTAGTACACTTTGTGTGATTTCTGCGGCATGTAAAATTTTTCTTGAATTGAATTTAATATATGTCTCCGAGCCCCCTTCTTCTCCTTTAAATACTATAAAAAATTTTACTCTGGATTTTATGACTTCTGCAGTAAAGTCCGAGCAAAGCAACAGAAGTGTTTTAGTGCAGTTCATTCTTATCTACTTCTTTATACATATTGTCATCTACTCTTCGCATAACTACAGAGAGACACTGGCTAAGGAGGTGTTCAAGATATCCTCGCAAGACTATTCGTTCATTGAAATGATCAGTGTAATTAAGCTCGCTGGCTCTATTACTTCTACCTATATATCACAGAGATACGTGCGGCCGCTGGTGGTTACTTTTATAGCCACTTCCATCTTCATTCTCTCTCTCGTTGTTCTGATTAACAATGTCATAGAGAATAAGTACGCCAACTTACTCCTGGGGTGTCTTCACATAGTAGCAGACTCGGCCATTCTTCCTACGATAGATGCCGAGTGTCTGACCCTTCTGAATAACAGGGGAATAAGCCAGAAGTTCAGCAAAATAAGAGTGTTCAGCACGATTGGGCACAGCATAACGTATCTCATAAACATGTTCATACAGAGGACGTTCCAAGACACAAAGATGGGCAGGAGCATTCTCATAAGCACCCTTTCATTTGGAATTGTCACGATAGCCTGCCTAGCCAACACTCTATTCACAATATCGTATACATCGGAAAAAGAGGACAGCAAGATGGTGCACTCTGATGATAAAGTACAGTCAAAATCAAAAATATCTCAGAAAAGTTTTAAGAGCGAGAATGAGAACGCATTCGAGAAAGTACTTTCTACCTTTAAGCTGTTCAGAGTGGATTATGTTATTATACTGGCAGCAGCAGTGGGCAGTGGAATATCCAGGTCCTCTCTGCAGTCGTATCTCAGCGAGTACCTCAGAAACACGCGCGCCTCCTCCGACGAAGGATACATTTACTTCACGCGAACACTCTGCGAGCTGTTTGTGTGGAGCGTAGTTATTTGGCTGGGAGACAGAGTGAGCCTTGAAGCGCTGTTCCCTGTGGCCATAGGCCTGGGGGCAGTCAGAGCTCTTTTCTACTCCATCAGCCCCTCGAATGAAATCATTCGCTGGATACTTCCGTACATAGCAGAGATGTTTAAGTCAGCATACAGCGCACTGTTTATATACGTATGCACTAAGTTAGCCCATAAGTATGCAGGAAGCAACCAAAAGACCCTTTCCCAGGGCGTGTTCACGGGATTCTACAGCGGATTGTCTCCGTTCCTTGCAGGACTTCTGAGCTACCACGTATTCTCCGTCTCCAAAAACAGCGACTTCCAAGATAAAGAGAAACTCTTCAGAATAGCAGGGTGCATTGGCCTGGGAGCCACTGCGCTTTCGTTTGTCTTGTACCTCAGAAGCATAAGAAACAGAAAAGTAGCCATATAAACTTATTAATAAACACAGTATTTGGGCTATTTCTTATCACTATTCACTTTAATAAGAGGCAGAAGAGAAAAACTAGATTGTAGAAAGAAGATCCACTAGAGCGCAGAGCAAGTTGAACAGCAGCAGAGAGCCCAAACGTTTCACCGAATCTAAGATAACCCGAGAACAGACAAAGGAATAAATAAAAAAAACAGAACAAGCCAAAAATGAACAGAGTGCGAGTGAAAAAGAGCCATTACAGTCACGGATAGAATAAAAAACACGAACAGAGTGTGCTTCTGAGTCATAGATAGAGAAATGCCTATTCTTAGACTTTTATCACTTTTTAATATCCTAGTAGCATGGGCTGCGCATGAAAGTGTTTACGCTTTCAATTGACCACAGTAAAATTGGCTCTATAGCTAGTAAACAGCACAGAACTGCATAAAAACTACGCAGACTCTTAATAGAATAACAGTGGAGTGCCAACCTCTGCAAACAAAAACACAAAATGTCATTTCATCCCGTTTAGTAAACAGCAAACAAACAATAGCTAAAATATTATACTCTATTTATTACTAATACAACAATTATCTAAGATAGTCTCTTCTATTTCTTAATTAAATTTTTATATTCTCTTGCTTCTCTCCTTTAAGTGCTCTTCTATCCTGTTTCTTATCTGTCTTTTGTGTTTCTCTTCTGACGTGCAGGATCTTTTTCCTTTTTTGTACTGCGTAATGCTCTGTCTCCCCCTTTTTTGGCTACTTTTCTCTTTTCTTCTGCTGAGGACCCCCTGCACCATTTTCTGAAAAATAAAAAAAGAATGGAATATTGGCTTTGGAATATCAAAACTATCTTTGTTTATTTATTTTGAATCTCTTCCAGAGATCAATCTATAATAAATAATGTCTTGGGTTGAATCTTAAAGTATTTGTGATTTATAAACACAATGACGGAGAGAACAGGACGAGAAACAGATAATCAAATGAACAGTATCAATGAATATTCTGAAGAGATAAATGATGGCCAGGAGGCAGCGGACTATTCAATAGATGATTACACAAATAGCACTATCTACAGCAAGAACTACAGCCACCCGCACAGCACAGAGTACGCCTTCTCCAATGAATACAGCAGACAGAGCGATCTATGGACTGAGCCCCCAGAGAGATACGAGGAGTACGAACATTCTAACCCAGCGAGCGCCCAGTGGCAGTGGGACGAGAGACACGAAGAGCACATGCACCAGTGGCCAAAAAAAGAGAAGAAAGGAAAAAAAGAAGAGCAGAGCGCAAGAAAAAAAAGCAAATTTCGAGTGTGCACTAACTGCGGAACAACCACCACGCCTGCCTGGCGCAGAAGCACGAGCAATAAGATACTCCTGTGCAACGCCTGCGGGCTGTACCAGAGGCTCCACGGAAGCGACAGACCATTCAGCGTAACACCAGAGGGAAAAACAAAAGCCATTAAGAATAATATTGAGAAGGGAGTGTGCAGGGGATGCGGCGTGTCCCAGACACCGCTGTGGAAGAGAGGACACAATAACGAATGGCTGTGCAGCTCGTGTGGCTTGCTGTATACAAAGAGAAGCAGAGGAGAAGAGTACAGACAGGAGTGGCCAGAGTATGCGCAGGACACAGCGTGGAAGTACAACAGCGAATACCAGGAGTACTCTGACTGGCCAAAGGAGAGAGAGAGCAGTGTACAATACGCATACGATGAAAAGGATTCAGAAGAGAGCTACTTTGGCAATGACAGGTTTAGAGAATATTCAGGATACTACAGTCAGGAGAAACAATAAATAGTAAATACTATTGTAAGATAAGGCATGCGTGTTTTTATATCTAGTGGCCCAATTGGGAGATCTTTTGTCCATAACTGGTACTTTTATTTTAAAATTATCTGATAAGCTGATCAATGTGTTTATCTTAGCTTTTATCGGTTAGAGAGATAGGCAGCCAGTTGGCTGAAGCTGGGCAGTGAATATTTAATATGCACTAAAGCAGCAGAATTATCCTATGCATTACATAAGCTATTCTGTGTTAGAAATTAATTATGCAGAAAGTGTGCGACATGCATCCTCCTCAGGTTGTAAGGAGCGAGTTTTTGAGCGCAATAGGAAGCCCTGCGCTAGAAAAAATAGATATCAAGCTGGGAAAGCATGTGGAAAGCAGAGATCTATCAGATAGCATCGCCTGGAGGGCAGTTAGAGGACTCAGGATGATAGCGGACACTATCTTCTACAAGAGATACGTGCATCGCGCCATCGTATTGGAGACCGTGGCCGCCATTCCCGGGATGGTAGGGGGGATAATTCGCCATTTAAGGTCGCTGAGGAACATGGAGGATGATGAGAACATTCGCGTACTGCTGGCTGAAGCGGAGAATGAAAGAATGCACCTGATGACGTGGATGGAGGTCGCTAAGCCTCTGCTCATTGAAAGACTAATCGTGCTGGGGCTGCAGGGAGTGTTTTTTAACGCATATTTACTGGTGTATGTGGTATCTCCAAAAACTGCGCACAGGTTCGTAGGGTATTTGGAAGAAGAAGCAGTGGTCTCGTACACGGAGATGATATCAGAAATAAAGTCCGGGGTAATTGCAAATGTCGATGCCCCGGAGATAGCCAAGAAGTACTGGAACTTGAAGGAGGATGCAAAGCTTCTCGACGTGACCTTAGCTATTAGAGCAGATGAAGCCATGCACAGAGACACAAACCACGACATAGCCAATGAGATAGCAGAGGGAATAGAGTAGCACAGGATTAGCAAAACTGCATAGTAGATCTCTATTGCAAATTAAAGTGGAATAGCTATTAATCCATTCTGCTGTGAAATTAAATTTTTATTCGGATTTTATTTAGTTTACACAGTGTTCTATACTTCGATGGTTTACTTAAATTTTTATGAGCTGCTGTCTGTGCTCCTAGCGCACTTTTAGCACAATCTCAGCTCAAGGGTGTCAAAGACATTGCAGATTTTGTCTTAGTTTTCCATTCAAAACAAACACGCAATATAAGTATATCTATTCTATGCACTTTTACAGTTCTGTTTTTGTGTCTTATTTGTCTTATAATGGTAGTTTGAGTAGGAATAGAGCTATAAATAACGGTAATTACCATCAGTAAAATGCAGTCTTTTTTGATATCCTAGATACTTCATATGATGGATCTAATTACTCGTAGTAGTATAGTAATGCTATCTGTCCATGCATTCGTAAGCCTCTCACTTGCTAAAATGACAGATGAGGTTTCTGTGTCAATTTCTCTGTAGCTTTTTTGTAAAAACTACCATAAGAGATGCTGGAACTATAAGAGAGCAATGAAGATGAAGTAAATATTTGCTACTTAGAGCTAATGCTACTACTGCAAACAAATCATTATTTTTTGTTTGTTATTGTTTTTAAACGCTGTAATTTACGGGATAAAGGGGGTTTATTTGCTATTGGCCTATGAGAATGTTTTTTGTAATTATCCCCAATGCGTGTTTATTAGTTGATTTGTGGGTTCTGCTGAACAAGTATTAAATTACCTCCTTTACTCCGTAAGAAAATGAGTGCATACTCTACACTTAAAGAGAAACTATTGAACGCAAAGTACTGGATACTTAGATACTCAACAGAAGAAGTGTTTGCCAGGAAGATCCTTTCCAACCAAAAGACAGACTCCATCAAAGACATTGGGTTTCTTATCTCTGCCTCTTTTATGGACAGTAAAATTCTGAACATTGCTCTGAAGATCGCGTTTAAACGGCTGGGCGTGTGCGAGACTATCTTGTTTTCCAAGCACATACAGTACTACAAGTCGCTAGTGTTCCTGCAGAAGGTGTGCATGGAGAGCTCTTTAGCCAAGAGAGAAGTAAAGAAAAACCACAAAAAAATACTCCCGTTCATATTCTACACCAAAAGCTGCTGCAACTTGGACATGAGCATAAGAATCGCATCAATTGCCATACTAAAACAGATAAACAAAGAGCTAGTAGCATCGGATCCATCGCACAACACTTTCATTACCTGTGTGTCTAATACGTACATCGAAGCAGATGAGTGCACAGACAATGAAATATTAGAAGAGTGCTAATTAATACCAAAACATAGATCTATCTGTCCAAAAGTGGAAATGCCTAGCTTTTCTTTGCTAAATATCAACTGAAATTGAAACTATACCATGTGAAGAACTCTTCCATTTTCGCACTCTCGGGTTATAAGAGAAGAGAATAAAAACAATCCAGGAAGCAGCCAACAAAAAAAGAAACATAAATCATAATTACGAACGGTTTAGAAAGTGTCCAATCCGCCAATGTTCGGTGTGATTCTGTGTGTTATATAGTCTACGTTCTCCAATCTGCTTATGTCTTCTCTATTTCTAAAAATAGCAGTAATACTTATTGTGCACTTTGTTTTTGCGCAGTGCAATGAAGATGTGGTAAGCATCAGGATGGATGGCGTGGATCTCGTAGCATCTAATGATAAGACCATAGATTCCTGCCAAAACATACAGGTAGTATACGCTAAAAATAAGAAGAGACCAAATGATCCGCTGCTGGCTGTATTGGGATACATGATATACATAGACGAAACAGTGTGCAGGATTTCTGGAATAAAAAATAAGAAAGATAGGCTCACAGGCTTAGACATCCTACTGGAGAAGAAGAATGGAAAGCCAGGCTCAATAAAAGCAGAAATAGACTGTAAGGGACCGAATAGCGGCGCGCATCTTGTTCTGAAGCAAATAACAACACCGAGCAGCCTGCTTTCTAAAGACGGGAAACAGAAGGCATTTATTATATTTGTAGCAAAGTCTCCATCTTAGAAAAACTAGACGACTAAAAATAAAAATATTTCAATACACATTTTATTATTTTACTAAGCCTACTATTTGCATTATCCAACACATAGTAAAACAAAAAGTAGGATGAATTCAGTAGCCATTGGAAATAATTTTATCTGTGTTGTTTATTCTTTTGCAGCTAGTGGCAGAATAAGAGAAACAACTAGCCAATAGGCGTAGAAACACAGATCATAATGAAGACAGAAGTTTAGAAACTAGCCAATTAAGTGGTGCTGCCAGTGATTATGTGCATTATATAGTGTAGTGTGCTGCAGTCTGTGCATATGCTATTGTTTAAGATAGCTTTAGTGTTTTTCTGCTTTGTCTGTGCGTTCTGTAAGGGAGCAGTGGAGATCGTGCACTCGAAAATTAACGGAAGTCAGTTTGTCATAGAAAAGCCTAGAGACGCAGAGTCGTACATTTCCACAGCCACTTTCATATATCAAGAGAGAGACCATCCAGACTCTGAGCTGAAAGGGCTTGTTGGGAGCGTAATATTTGTATTTGATAGAATAATCAGATTCGAGTACGAAATAGGATGCAACAGCAAGCCAATAGGGTTGGCCATAGAGATAAAAAAGAGAAACAAGGAAAGGGGCGTAATAAAGTGCCAAATGAGCATGAAGAGCGAAAATGAAGGAAGTTTTATTTTTGTAAAAGAAATAGAAACAAGAGACTTTCTAGGGGCAGACACAGAGCAAAGAGCCTTTGCAATATTCTCTGTAAGATCGAAAGCATAGTGAATATTTTAAATAAATGTTAGCTCTTGTAAACGTTCTTCAATAGCTGATGTTTCTTGCGCTGAGCTAAAGCACTCAAAGAGCATTCTGCTTTAAATTAAAATTGTAGCTATTGTTTGTTTAAGATACAAATATTTACAGGATCAGAAAACAAGCTTTTCTTGTTGTGTTTATTATCTGTTTGAGATCAATAAACAAACCTCTAGCTTAAATACAGCTCAGAAGGTGGCTTCAATATGAAGATTCAAAGAACAAAATATAGTGCGAATTTCAGTGCTGCGAGCATGCTAGTGCTTTTCGAAATGCTTTTACAATTGCATCAAGTATCAGCAAGTGGAGAGAAAGCTATAGACTGTGCCGAGCCTAGCACTAGTAGAGATAGCAGCAATGCGAATTCTAGATCAAACAATAGCCCTTCAATAGGAGAAGCTGTCAAAAGACAAGCAAAGAAAGCTGTTGGGGCTGTTAAAACAAAAGCAGAAGGACTTTTAACAATTGCACAATTAAAAGTAGCAGAACAAGCAAAAAAAACTAGCGGAAAAATAGAGCAGCTTGGTCAGAATTTCGAAGAAAAGGCAATGAAAAGAATGAGAGCTAGCAAAGATAAAAATGAAGGTCCTAAGAGCTCCAATGAAAATGCAGATGAAGCAGGCATAGATTTCAAAGAAAACATGAAGGAATTTGGTAGAGTCTGCAAAGAAGCAGCGGATAAATTTGGTGAAAGCTGTAGAGAAGCTGCAGATAAGTTTGGCGAAAGCTGTAAAAAAGCAGCGGATAAGTTTGGTAAAAGTTTTAAAGAAACAGCGGATAAGTTTGGTAGAAGCTGTAAAGTAAAGGCCAAGAAAGTGCTGAGATCTAACGAAAATACAAGTACAGCTGTTCTAAATTTCGAAGAAAATAAAGAGGAAGCTGCCGAGAATTTCAAAGAAGATGGAAATAAGGCTGCTACAGATTCTAAAGCAAAAGAAACAAAAAGGCTGAAAAAATATAGAGAAAAAGCAAAAAAAGTATATGAAAATTGCAGAGAAAAAGTAGAGGAAGGACTCGAAAAAACAGGAGAACATGCAGAGAAACTTGGTGAGAGTTGTAAAAAACGCATAAAGAAAGGAGGCAGGTTTTTCAAACGAAAATCAAAAAAGATAGTAAAACCTTTAAAAAACAAGGTAGTAGATTTACTGAGAGGCAAGCAAGAAGTGAACGGCACAGACCAATTGGACACAATGCAGTTTGTCTCTGAAAGTTCGATTTATAAGAAAAGCTCCTGTGATGCATTGAATGAAGATGCTGATGATGTAAGATTGAGCACTATGTTTGATTCAGAATCTGAGAATAATTTATTGACTGATAACAATAGCCATGTAAAGCAGAAATTCTGCACTGGATATAAGTCAATACCTGAGAACAATCATTAAATTTGTTGCACTATAGTCCATTCTACTTTTTAATTTTCGTTTTATTGCTTGAGATTTTTACAAGTTCTTCTGCCATTGCTACTGAATATTTATTTAAATGTGTCTAGGGCCTCCCTGTTTTTTCACTGGAGAAATTGGATGCGTGAAGCGCACCTTTTCCTGCTCTGCCGGCTGTTCTTGGCTGCTTTTTCTATTCTGTGCGGGCTCATGTGTGTTTGTTTTGCTCAAAAGAGCGCTAGTGTTTTTGATACTGGCCAGCTCATTCTCTATTTTTTTGTATAGCGATTGCATAAATCGTGTATTTGTGGATATTTCTTCTATGTCTTGTTTTAGAACATTCACTGTCTCTTCTAGGCTCCTCTGTTCTTTCAGGATCTTGTTTATATTGGCCTGACTGTTCACATTTCCATCTATTTTTGATGGTGTTGTGTCTGCTGCCAGAGCTCTATCTGGCAATATGACTAGATCATTAACGGATTTATCGATAAAATATTTTAGCGGAGTGCTCGACTGCATGACACGGGCTAGCCAGGTGCTTAGCTGAAAGGTCAGCATGCACACAGTGCACTTTCTTTCCACCCGGTGCTTCTGTCCATGGCCTATTGTTTTATTCCCGCAGTGCGGGCACGGAATATCCAAATAGAATGTTGGAATGTTTTCATTATTTTTTAATTTGTTGTAGTTGAGCTCAGCAGCATTGGTGGCTTCTTTTATGTACGAAACATTCTCTTCCTTTCTTTTCTTTAGAGAACGCGAGAGGCTTATTCCATCTCTGATCATTTCTCCGCTTGAGCTCTCTTTGGGCTCTGTCGGCTCGCAGTGATCTCTGCTGTCTTTCTCGAGCATAAAAGAGAAAAGCAGAAGAAATAAAAAGAAAGAAAAAATCATCCAGATGCAGCCTATTGAATGTCCATTGTCTGGACAGGATGTAGATTCATTCCACTTTTCCAGCATGTCTCACAGAGATTGCAGCTATTTAGATAGATGAAAATATGCTCTCTATATTGCTAGCAAGTGATAGAAGAGATAGGTTAGAGCATCTATTGGGCTACTTATACTTTTGGCTATCTAAAGATAAAAAGTTTACTTTTTGACAGTTTTTTTTGTTTTGACACAGTCTTCTATTTACCGATGATTGTAGACCATGTAGTGTCTTGTAAATAGCGGTCTAAATCTCTCTTAATTGCGCCTTAATGGGAGATTAGGCTGTTCTATCTGCGAATCAAAAAAAGTAAAATTATAAAATCAAAAGCACAGAAGGCTCCTACGATGCGCATACTAAAACTACTGCTACTATTGAAGATGGTAAAAGCCAGTGGAAGTGAATTTAACGAGTCCTCAGCAACAGAAGGAGTTTCGGTAGAGTTCAAAGACTCTTCTATGAGCTCATCTGCAGGAGCGCCAATCAGTATATCCAGCAGCCAAGAAGTAGGAAACCCATCACATGCATTGCAACCTGAAACGGTGCCGGAGTCAAAAAGTGGGCGGATTACCAGATCTTTAATTTTTCCGTACTCAAAGGCCGATATACGGAGAAGAAAGATTAATAGACTAAAGAAAAATGCTATAAAAAGAGCAAAAAAGCTAAGTAATAAAGTCACTAGAGGAAAGGTAGGCAATGGAAGCTTGGGTGTAAATGAGCCAAGTGGTGAAGCTGTTACTAGGAAACTAAAAAAACGTGATATAGTTTCAGAGGAAAATGAGCCAAGTGGTGAAGCTGATATGGATGATGAACTAGAAGGTAGTGAAAATCCAGCTGAAGATGAGGATAAAAATGATTTAAATCTTTCTGCTGAGAAAAGAGAGGAAAGTGTTGAGCCCAGACAAAATGATCCTAGTCCTTCTATAGAAGAAAGAAGCAATGGTAATTCTTCTGCAGTTGAACAAGAAAATAAACTTAATTCTAAGACTCCCAAGGAAGATGCTGAAAAAGAAGAAAAAACAGAGGATATTCTGCCCTCTAAGCCAAATGATTCTTTAGAAGAAGAACAGCCTGCTCTTTCTAGCGCAATTAATTCAGAGTTTATATTTGGCAACAGTTCGAACATATTCACACAGGGAGGAAGCTCATCTAGCGGAAAAGTGCACCAGTCATCGTGCAACATCACAAGAAAAACAAAACTTCTGAAAAAGTTTAAGCATGTGGACAGGAATGAAAGAGCGTACTTCTACCTAGACAAAAATGACGAAATCGAGGCTGTAAGCATCAATGAAATGCTTGAAGCCCTGGGGTATTGCGGCACTCCGGAAAAATCAGACAGCGAAGGATCGATTAAAAGCACATTGGAAGGCCTGATTAATGTAACAGAAGAGCTGGATGACCTAGCTGATCTTTTATGCGATAGGAGCATCTTCATATGTCTTCCCAAGACAAAAAAGGTGTTCAGAGCTATTCTTAAGAAAACCCTTACAACAAGCGAAATAGTCCTTAAGTTTGTGAACAAGATAGGAAGATCTTTGCAGGATACAAAATCCAAAAGAACAGAAAGGCACCGTAAGTGAAAGTTACTGCACTCGGCAGAGAACATTTCATCTACAATGTACAGCATGCAATAAATCAAATTTTGCTCTATTCTAGCGTCTTAAAAAGAGGATAGCTCGAGAAGTAATTGGAAGACAGTTTATTAAATTCTGTACTTGCTAAAGTACTTTTTAATGGACTAGGCCATGCTATCACATAGGAGTGCATTGGTCTTTCAGTGGCTATTTATTCCGTTATTTCATCTTTCCTTTTTGGGCTGTGCTGTGTTTATTCGTTATTAGAGCTGTAGCTAGCTGGATAGCTCAGTGAGTATGGCGGTATAATACGCAGTTATTCTACTCAGCAAATCTTTTTCTGTTTTAATCTGAGCAAGCTCTCCAACATCCTCCAGAGCTTTGTTCTGTGTTATTTGCAGTATCTTTGCTCTTTCTTCGTTTAGGAGATCCAGGTGCTTCTGGACTCCTGCGATTCCTTTTGTCTTTACCTCGTGTTCTATCTCCTGGAAATGGTCGCTGATTCTCTCAACAATGGTTTCCATCGTGTCTTCGTAGTCTGTGGTTTCTGTTGCAAGGTCTCTTTCTAGGTATAGATCATTCACTTCGTTTTTCAGGCTGTAAAGCTCGCTTTCCATCTGGTGTTTCTGCGTCTTGATGGTGTTCAGGTTGCTTCTGATCATGTCCAGCAGCTCCAGTATGCTTAGATCAGAGACATGCTTGTCAATAATATTCAGCAGTATTTCGATCTTTTTTTCAGACTCGGTCTCTACCTCCAGCTCTTGCTTCAGCTTTTCAATTGAAATTATAACCGCAGAAGGAGAGTCCAGGTTTTTTGCGGTGCCTTTGTAGTTTCCGCTGTTTTTGCCTATGATCTCCTCCAGGCCTTGGACAAGAACATTCAGACACGCCAGCTCGTCTTCGGGGCCTGTGGCATTCTTGTGTTTCAGCACTAAATACGTGTCCTCCACGAGAGACTTGAGCTCTTCTTCCTCCAGCAAGGAAATTTGTTCTCGAATGGTGTTTCTCTTCAGAGAATACTTTGGCACAAACTCGTGCTGGCCGTTCTCTTTTCTTCGGAGTATCTCCTCCTTCAGGTCTTCGCACACTTCATTAAACTGCTGGTCGTTGAAAAAGAACACTTTTTCTATTGCCTCCTTCTTCTGTCCCTCAATTGGCGGCTGCACGTGCCCCTCAAGGAATTCTTCAAATAAAAGGCGTCTTTCGTTAATTTCTTCAGGTAAGGGTCCTTCGTACATGCAAATACTGAGACTTAGACATTTATACCACAATAAACAAACAAATAAAAACACACCAATCAAAACACTCAGTTTGCAGAGTGAAAATCCATGGACATCACAAATGCATTTGCAAAGCAGAATGTCTAGACATTTTATGCTCTGTGGATAGGAAAAGACGCAGAAACCAGCTGATTTGCATACCTGCACAGCTTATCTGTCTTTGCATTCGATGGATGGGAATTTTTCAATTTTTATTTCTCCCGCTTTTGCTGCTATTTGAGCTGATTTTTCTGCCATTCTTTTTATGGGTGGAAGTATAAAGAAAGATGCACCGTACGTCTCCAGAACTATCAGAAAAAGACTGAACGCAATGGAAATAACTAAACTATCGGAGATACAGGAGAAAAGCATTCCGTACGCACTGGAGGGCCACGATCTTCTGGGCATTGCAAACACGGGGTCTGGGAAAACACTGGCATTTCTCATACCAGCAGCTGAAATGCTCAGAAAAGAGAAAAACGTTGCAACTCCCAAAGTGCTGATCATATCGCCAACAAGAGAGCTGGCCCTGCAGACGTCTCGCGTATCGCAGAAGCTGTTCGCTGATTATCCAGAAATTAAAACAGTTTTGCTCATAGGGGGAAATAAAAAATCCGAAGAACTTGCAGAAATAGAGAAAGGCTGTGCCATCGTTGTAAGCACCCCTGGAAGACTGCTAGACCATTTGAGAACAGGGCTTCTTCTGAACAAGATAAAACTGGCTGTTTTAGACGAATCAGACCGAATTTTAGACATTGGGTTTGAAAAAGATATGCTGAATATTCTCTCCTATCTCCCGAAAAAAAGACAGACACTGATGTTCAGCGCAACAAATACTGATAACGTACTGTGCAGATCGTGGCTATCCAACAAGTACAAAAAAGTACACGTTAAGATAGATGACAAAATAACAGCAGAAGGGCTGAAGCAGTCTTTTGTGATGTGCCCAGAGGACATGAGATTCTCTCTTCTTTTTTCATTTCTGAAGCGAACAGACGGGAAAATAATAGTGTTCTTTTCGACCTGTGCATCTGTTATGTTCCACGGTGAGCTTTTCTCTCTCCTTGGATTTAATGCAGGAATGCTGCACAGCGGAGTGAAGCAGGACAGAAGAGCCAGAGTATTTGACGAGTTTTGTGAGGGAAAGATCAAAATACTTTTCAGCACAGATGTTGCAGCAAGGGGTCTAGACATTCCAGGAGTAAGATGGATTGTGCAGTATGACCCTCCCACAGACCCTAAGGAGTATATACACCGAGTGGGAAGAACGGCCAGAGCGGGGGCAGAGGGTGAGGCTCTTTTGTTTCTTCTTCCGCATGAAAAAGTGTTTATTAAATATCTGGAGAAGTTGGGCGTAGAAGTTGATGAGCTGGAATACAAGATGCCAAAGGACATAACAGAGCACTACATAAAAACAATCAGCTCCAACTATTATCTGGAAAAGGGAGCTAAAGAAGCACTGAGAGGATATCTGCAGGCATACTCAGGACACAAGCTGAAAAGAGTGTTTGACGCCTCAAAGATAGAGCTAAACAAAATCGCAAGGTCATTTGGCCTGTCATCAATGCCAAAAATAGATTTAACAATATGCGCTCGGAGTAAATAGGACGGCAGATAAATAAACAACTAGATATATTACAGATTGTGTGGTTATATGCTGATATAGAATAAAGAGTGTACACTCTTTTGACAAGATACACTTTTTATTTTTATCTCTACTTCTTTAGTTTTCTTATTCTTGAGCTGCTCTCTAAATATTGTTTAGTGTAGACTTTTTGGCAAAAGTTTATGCGTAGCTTATACAGAGAGAAAGCGTATCATCCAAACAATTAATCAAACAAATACGAAGAGTGGCTTTTAAAGTTGGTTTGTATGTTAATTTAATTATTTCTACATCTCAGAGACAGATCTTTGCTAGTGCGTGTCTGCCGAGACACAGAACAGCTATTCCTTTGATTTCATTTTTTTTATCTTTTCAAACATGTAGTTAACTTTATGGTCTAGCGGTATTTGTCCTTTTTTTGTGCGCTGCTGGAGCTTCTTTCTCCATCCTTCTTTCTTCTGCTGTTTCTCCTGTCTTTCTTTTTTGGCTTTTTCTATTTCTCTGGCTCTTTCTTCTTTTTTCAGCAAGTTCTCTTTGTGCAGTTTCTCTAAGATTGACGCTTTCTTTGTCTTTCCTCTTTCCTCTTTTTTGTACTCGATGTTTGCCATTTTCATTGCTTTTTCCCTCTCCTCCTCTTTTCTCCGCATCTCGCTCTCTTCATTTTTCTCTTTTATGTATACTCTTCTGCTTTTCCATGCCATAGCTAAATTTTCTCAGAATTATTTGTCTGTTATTCAGTTTTTAAGTAGCAGCGCAAAGACCCAAACAGAAGCTACTGTGTGCTTATCTTCTGTATCCACGACTTCTCAACAGTGTCTCTTACTCTGTTGTTATATTTCAGCTTGTTGTTGAGGTACAGCTCTGATGCCTCTGAGTTGGCAGGCGAGTCCGTGTTTGGATCATTTAGCAGAGACTGTATGCAGAGAAGAACTTGTCCTATCCCGTATGCCGAGTTCCATCTGTTCTTCAGTATGTCAAGGCACAGCTCGCCGTTTGGGTACACATTTGGATGGAATATTTCCGTTATAAAAGACACTTCTGGTGGGTGCTGTGGGTACGACTCTGTAAATTGTATTTTCAGCTCAAAAACCCCCTCTTCAAAAGGGGTGTCTTCTGGCCCGAATATTATAGCTCTCCAGTCCATTATGTCTTCCTTGCTTGGCACTGCTAGAATGTTATCCAGCGGGTCTTCCAGAAGCTTTTTCATATCTCTCATTATCTTTCTTTTGGTGGGTGTTGACATGTAAAAATACTTTCATTTTTTGAAATAATATAGTAGTGGAATAAAATCCAGAAGTGAAAATTTTTCTCTTTCTCTTCTATCCCTAATAAACCATCCATTTTTCACTAGAAGTGCACTTCACTTTAACTTTCTGTAGTATTCAGTGGTAGATTAGGAAGAACCGCTTGAAAACTTTTCGCTTATGAGTTTGATTTGATTTTATTTATCTGAATAATTTGTTCAATGAAATATTATTCTTTATTCGCTTTGTATTTCTAACTGCGGGCTGAATATGCACAGACCATTCTTTGATGTGGCAATGATGACATCATCGCTTATAAACTCAAAGTCCTTGTAGTAGGACTGCCCCTGGTGCACAAAACTCAAGTACTTGTGATACTCCCACTCTTCTGTTTCTTCGTATGCCATATCCCAGATGACCACTTCGCAGCTTGAAGCAGACGCAAAGATCTCGTTAGAGCTAAACTGAACATGGCTGATGGGAGACTGGTGGAAGCGAATCTCTTCCAAAATCTGTTCATTTCGCATGTCGATCAAGCGAAGTGCTCCTTCGTCGTCTCCTGCGAGGATTAGATTCTCTCCATTGTATGCGATTGAATTTATGTCCACTGGCAGAGTAAGATATCTTTTAGAGTCTTTGCACCTGAAATCTACGAGGTCAAGTGACTGTGTGGCTGCAAACACTTCATTTTCTGAGACTCCTGCCACAGAATAGATGCACGAGCCGTCTACACTGAATTTTTCAAGAGAGCTATTTTCTATATTGGCTTGCAAGACTACTTCGTTTCCATCTCCGTAGAAAAGCGAAGTTTTGTAAGTGGAGAGGCCGTATCCTCCATTTATCTCTCTATTTATTATGGGCTTCAACTGGCTGTCGTATACATGCAGCGATCTATCAGTGATTGCGTACACTTTTCCGTTTGACGCTCTTATTCTGTTGACCTGCGAGGGTGTGTGAACTGCTGCTGATTTTCTAACTGAATTGCTGCTTTTGGATCCTAGACTAGCCTGTAGCTCAACAATCTGCGAGCAGTTTTTCTCATCTGTCTGCTCAATCAGTATCTTTCCATCTTCTTCTCCCATGCACACAGTCAAAGACGGCCACTCTAACTGAATTTCTTCGCGTATTTTGTAAATGCTCTCCATCTGCAGATTCATTTCCTCTGGCTCTTTCAGGGCTTCGTACTTCTCTCCAGACGATTCTTCTTCCGACGATAAATCAGCGTCTGCCTGAGACTCCTTCTCTGCGTTACTTGCAAATTCTTTATTGTTTCTTCTATTTTCTTTGCGTGCCATAAAACTTTTGCGCGTTGGTAAGATAAAAATAACTAATTGTTCATAAAATTTCTGTAGCCCAAGAGCTGCTATCTTATACCGCCGTCCTATCATACAATGCTCTGTTTTTAAATTCATCTGTACTTTCTTTCCAAACTTGAAAATCTCTTGCTAAGAAATCGCTCTCAAATAAGAAACATCGCACGCATTAAAATAATTTAGCTGCCATTCTGGGACTACTTCGAGAATAAATGGAGTAAGGAATATACTGCGCTATTTAGATGGCTCTCTAATATTCTCAGCAGTTCTGCTTTTATATGTTTGAATTATGTATTTTTATTTGTTTTTCTGCTTGTATAGCATAAAATTAATCTTGCTGCAGTGTTCTTCTTCTGATGCTTGTATGTGAATACAGTGCACAGTTAATTCTATTCAAGCAATTCTTGTGCTGTTCCTTATCCACCTACTGGCTAGATAAAACCATTCAGCTAACAAATTCAAACTGTCTAAAAAACTCGTCTACTTTACACTTCGGTAGACAGCATTAAAATAAAAACCTCGAGAAAAATCAGATATGAAGCACTGTGCCTTGCTTTGCCACTGATTTTAGCGTATAGAAGATGCAAACAGTCTCTTCTGAAGACCATCACTTTAGCAAATATTCATTAGCATCTCTAACTCTTTTCTGTGCCGGGTTGATTTTATGTTCTTGCAGAAAAAGCTGTACAGCACCTTTATGAACTCAAGATTCTCTGAGATAAGAGCGCGCTCCTCGGAGGTGAACGAGTGCCCTTTTTTCTTGCGGATTATCGTAAGAATCTTCTCCATTCGCCATCCATTTATGCTGTTTATCTCCACAGGCTCTGTCTCTTCGTCAATGTTGTCTATTTTCAGCTTATTTTGTATGGTCGATATTGCAAACTTGAAACTCTCTGCATATTCAAATGTCTCCCAATCTATTTCCTCGTCTGCTCTGATCTCTGACCTCACTGGGGTAAATACGAACATCTTGTCCAGCAGATAGCTATCTGTTTTGTCGAACAGAACGAGCAGCCACTGCAGCGCAACGGGCACATCGCTGCTCTTATCTAAGATATGGCCCACTATCTCGCTGATAGCTACATTTTCACTGTTATGTTCAGATCTGCACTCTTCCGTCTCTGTGCCACAGCTGCCCGTACAGGAGCCACCATGCTCATCTGATGGCAAATTGCCATTATGCGCGCTCTCATCATTGCTGTGATCATTGCTGCTGTAAACATTCTGTGCTGTTTCATCTGTAGAGTTTGCTGTGCCTTCCTCCAGCCTCTGTGCCTCTATTGAGCTTTCAGGCACGCAAACTATCTCGTCCTGGCTTAGCCCTGAGATGTGTATGCTCACTGCATTGTGGTATATGTCTGAAACCACATCTTCGATCGACTCAAACACACTGGGCACGCATATTGTCGAAACAGTGCCCATGGCCAAACCTGAAATGTAGTCCAAAGTGATGCAGCCCTTTGAGAAAAGAGCGTACAGATTGTCAGGTATTCTTTTTCCAAAAATAACACCTATATCGTACGGAGCGGGCACTGCACTGGACAGATGCACGAGCTCGCTGTTCTCGCTCAGCACAGGATGAAAGTCCACTGTGCACTTAGCAGCCTGGTAGAGTTTCAGGTACTTATCTTCTGCTGCACCGAGCTCTTTCTGTTTTCTCAGCGTGTTTAGCACTCCCCCCGCATTCTTGTACTTCGCAATCAGAATGTTCAGGTCAAACACCATGCTAAACTCTGGCACGGTGGGGCAGTACTCGCATCCAAGAAGCAGAAAGATCTCTCGGGCCTTGTGTGCTGGAGATATCGCAAAGTCGTTGCAGATGGCAGAGTAGAATGCACACCAAATTTTAGCAACTTTTTTCTTGCTGCTGTTTGCGCCAAAGTCAAAGTCAAGGATGAGCTTCTCTCCTCCGCTGAAGAGGAAGTAGTCGGTTGCTCCAAAGAACATTCTGATGTACGACTTTTTCGCCATGTATGCGCCCTGTCCTGCTGCCAAGTACGGAGCATTGATTATTTCCACCTTATGCTGAGATAAGAGTGCGTTGATGGCTTTTTTTACTTCTTCGTATCCAAATGCCATGCTCCACGCTTTTTGCTCTGCCTCTGTGTTTTTTTCCAAGTGGTGCTTCCACCCGAGCTGAATGGCCTCTTTTCTCTTCTCTTCTGGCCCCTTGCGGACTTCCAGCTTCGGGGACATTCCGTTCCAGATCCACACTATCTTGCACTCGATCTGCTCCATGCTCTCAACCAGCGCACGGACGTACGAGAGTATCTCTTTGTTGAACCCGTCAAAAAGCACGTTCTTGTTTTTCACAGTTGGCGAGTATTTTCGTACAAACCACGCTCCGTCAATTCCAATGGTGCTTTTTTTCAGGATGTCTAAATCGTATTTTTGAATAAGCTGTCTTTTTCCAAGCTCCTTCTCAAAGTTTCGTAGTGGCATATTTTAAAATAAATGAAAGTATTTGATACTCAGAATAAAATTGCATGGAAGAGAGAGGAATATCAAAAAAGATAATAGTAGTAGGAGATGGAGGGTGTGGAAAGACGTGTCTGCTCATTAAATACACAGAGAACAGGTTTGAGAAGGCGCACACCGTCACAGTCTTTGAAAACAAGACAGTTCCGTACTTGGACAGGGTCACAGGAAAAACATACTCCCTTGACCTGTGGGACACAGCAGGACAGGATGACTTTGACCGTATAAGGAAATTGTGCTACATTGACACCAATCTCATTCTCATATGCTTCTCGCTGGATAAGCCAGAGTCCTTCAAAAACATAGAGGGAAGATGGAAGGAAGAGGTAGACCATTTTTGCAAGGACACTCCGAGAATTCTTGTCGGGCTCAAGGCAGATCTGAGGAAGACATCGAGCGAAGAGCTGATTTCTGAGCAGAAGGCGCTGCAGCTGACGAAGAGCGTGTCTGCGAGGTACTACATAGAATGCTCTGCTGCAACAGGAGAAAATGTAGACGCTGTTTTTGACTCGGCAATGGACATACTTCTCAACAGGTCGAAAAAGAAGAAAGAAAAAGGGCCGTCATGCAAGACCTCGTGAAGAAGGCGATATTATAATAAAGGGCAACTATTTGCTTATTTTAGTGCAGGCTAGTTGAAGAGCTTCGTAGGTATACGTTTATATGCTGGGAGCAGTTTAAATTTTATTTGAAAAAACCAGAGAATCTGTCTTCATATTTTGCTCATTTTTATTCTTTTTAGTATGGACGTAAAGAAGAGTGAGATTTCCGTCCTAATAAAAGAGATGAAGTACGACGAAATAGTGGAGCACTTGGAGGCAACAAGAGAGCAAAAAACAGTAGCCCTTATGAAAATGGACAGATTTAAAGAGGCCCTGAAGTACTGCTACAACAACACTTTTGAGAAAGCGTACTGTTTTTACAGGATAGGAAAGTACAAGTGCGCGCTGAAGACAGCAGGAAAGAAGAAGGGGAGTGCATGGATTTCTCTTAGATCGCAGATATACTACAAACTCGACAGACATCTCGACGCGATCAAGGAAATTGGAAAATTAAAAGAGATAAAAGGCCCTGTGCTTGTCAACTATGCGGCAAATGTGGCTCTAGCCATTGCAGAAAACAAAGCAGAGGCAGATAGCACGAAAGGAAAAGAAATGGCAACTGTTTTGGAGAAAATTAAAAACGAAAAAATAGACATTCAGGGAGAAGTGCTGTACAATCTAGCATTCTCCTACCTGCCCGATCGGAGAAAGGTACTTAATAAGCTCAAAGAGATAGACACCCCCGACAGAGACCACAGGGAGCTTGTGCAGGCGCAGATCCACAATATCCAAGACATGCAGAAGGAGATATCACCAAGCATTCTTAACAGAAGCAACAAAGCCATCCACCGGTACAACACAGAAGCCATTCAGTCGCCGTGTCTGCTCGAAAGCATGAAACAGTTCCAGAAGAACACATACTACCAGAACAAGATAAAGCAGTACAGCCAGACAAAAGATGTGCCAGAACTCTGCAACATCATCGATGATTTGAAGCAAAATAACACAAAGCCAATCATCAGGCTGATCAGCAGGCTGAACAGGAAGAACGCCCTCCATCTGAAGAAGGTTCTAAAAGATGAAAAAATACTCAGCAATGGCCTAAACAGGATAGTTATAAAGAAGAAGTAAATCCAACAATAAATCTCATTTTACATTCTCGGGCTATATTCTGTCTAGCAATGACAGTTACTAAAAGTGCACTGACCTCCTCATTTTCTGATTTTTAAAAGTGCAGAGAAGAAAGCGGTAGATTGCAGAGCAGTTCATCTCTGTGCTGAGCAGCCACTAGTTACTAATCAGTGAGGCTGTTTGTGTTATTCTTTTTGATATTTTTAATGTTTGTTTCTGTGGATATTATTAATATAATTAATGCTTTGTATTTTTAATTTTTTATGTTAAGTGGATTGTTTCTTATTTCAGTCTCCTCTACCCTTGTGTGGTTCGGAACTCGTGTGCCCCAGTACAGCACAGTAAAGAAAGAAAGCATGTCAATGGACGACGCAAAAATGTTTCCTGTTTTGGGATCTGTTATACTTGTCAGTCTTTTCTGTGCTCTGAGATATCTCCCCAAAAACATGATAAACACGCTGTTCAGAGCAATCTTTTCAATGACAGGAACGGTTTCTCTGTACAAGATATTTAAAATGGTGCATGAGCACTTCACAGGCCCTGCAAAAACAGAGGCGGACAAGAAAAAGAAAGATCTCGAGAGTAAGCCAAAGGCAGAGAAGGACGGAAAAGCCGCAAAAAAAGAAGAAAAAGAGTCCAAAAAGACAGAAGACTCTTCCAAGCCAGAAAATGCAGCCACTTCATCGGTCTTTGACATGGCTTCTCTGAAATCAGACATTATCGAAGCATACAGCGAAGTAAAAGAGGCCATAAACTCTCAGTTTGAAGAGCTCAAGTATCTCCCGTACGGCTGTCTGTTTGTGCTCTCTCTGGCAGTTAATCTGTGGTACTTCAAAACAAAAAGCATCATGTCGTCAAACATTCTCGCATGCGCTTTCTCCATTATGGGAATACAAGAGATCAGGCCAGACTCGACAAAGACCGTGCTTGTGCTCCTTGGGCTTCTCTTTGTATACGACATATTCTGGGTGTTCTGCACGCCTGTGATGCTGGGAGTGGCAAAGGGCCTGGACATTCCCATTAAGATAGTGTATCCGTTTGCGAAAAAGGGAGGAAGCATGATCGGCCTGGGAGACATTGTCATTCCCGGCCTGTTCCTTGCCCTTGCAAGAGAATTTGCCCACAAAAACAGCTCTCCTTTTGTGTTTTTTGGAGGCTTTGTGGGGTATGTTTTGGCGCTCATCATTACCTTTGCGGTTGTGATAATGTTCAAGGCCGGACAGCCAGCTCTTCTTTACATATGCCCGCTGATTGTTGCAGGGAGCATGGCAGGCGCGCTGTTCCACAAGAAAACAAAGCAATTCATTGATTACAAGTCAGAATAAAATCATATCTTATAGGTCTAGTGCATTTTTTGCCTGTTTTGGTAATATATCTCGCAGATAATTGATCTTGCAATTTTTCAGTTGTATTTGGAAAGCCACAGAATGTCCTC